AACCCTTTCCATCCCTGTGGGTCTGCAACAGATCTCTGCAGCACACTGTAAAGTCTCATTAACCTCAGTGAACGAAGGATCATGCCAGAAATACATAAAGTTGTTGATACTGTTTGCACAAGTCTTTATCTTAAATTTAGTCTTCAGTAGAGTCAAAATCTGGTGGAGAAATAAAGTGGAGACTGAAGGGGTATTCCTGTGTTTTTGAATAATCAAACAAACCCCTTCTTTTCCATGCACACGGAGCAGGCAGCTCTCATCTCTATCTCTGCTGCTTGCACTTATGCACTACTGGAAAGTCCCACTAATGGACCAGGGCTCCAGATCAACATGATGAACTTTATCCCAAACCACAGAGACAAAAACAGAAAGACATAGAACAACCAACAGGAAACTATCCTGGGTGGGATTGCAGGTATAAAATGTCACAGCATAAAAGCTAACCTCTAGCTTTTTGCTTATACTGTGCCTAGAGACAGTTTTAAGGAGCCATTTACAAAGTATAATGAAGTAGATTTATGGCTGTTTAATGAAGCTCTTCATCAGTATGCTGCATAGCCTGGAAGCAGGCAGGAAACAATTGTCTGAGGCACTCAGAAGAGGACAGTAGAAGCTGGAATCATCATCAGAAGAAATTAGCCCCAAACCTGAATGAAAAATGACATGTAGGGCAAGCAAGGATACAAAATACCTTCAAAGCAAAGGCAACTAGCTTATAGATGCAAAAGATGAGTCATCTGAAAGATATAAAGGGCATCAATCAAAACATTTACAATATAGTAACCAGTTTGTAGGTCAGAATGTGACATTGTTGAAGCTTATTGGAAGAAAAGAGGTGAGTACCTCATTAAAAACGACTGTTACCTTACAGCCAGACATCAAAAATGAAGAAACAAACCTAGGCAGGCAAATCCAGGTAGGGAGTAGAAAAGCAGCTTTGAGTTTCATTTGATCTAAATAGAACAGTCTGTGGATGAGGCTAAGCAGGAAAAAGATGCAGCAAAAAAAAAAAGAAAGAAAGAAAGCACATTTATTGTATAAATGAGACTACAGCACCCCTATACAAGTAGAAAAAGCTGGGGGGGAAGGAAGAGAGAAGTCAGGAGAATGGATAAAGTGAGGTCACCAAAATAAGTTGAGGGCTTGCAGAAAGACAGAAATCAAACTTTTTAGTGCCTGGAATGGGAAACTGGAGAGCTAAGATGGAAGCCATTTTTCACCACTCTTTCTCTTAAATAGAAATTGGCAAGGTCATGTGTGGAAAGAGAAGTCAGGACAGGAGGAGGACAGAATGAAACCTACATAACCGCAATGAGCTGCCAAGTGTCTGTTTTCTCTGCACCAGTTCCCTGTAATTTCACTTCATGTTGGAATGTGCATTGCACATTCACACTCTCCTGTACTGGCCTGTGTCCTGAAGAACTTGCAAATAGGATGTTTTAAAAACACAGCCCTCACTGAAGTCAGTCTGCTGCTGAAATCAAATGATCCGCACCATTGTTCGGCTCTAATTAAACAGGAGGCACATTATTTGCTCAAACACTACTGTTTAATTTATCTGTTTGCTCCAGAAGGTGTTTTCTATTTTCCCATCATTCTCCTGTGAACAGACAATACCTACCAATTTCCAGGAAGCAGTCTTTTTTAAAAAATTATTTTTTAAAGTGAAAAGCAAATGCTAAAAAGAACAAATTAGTTGAAGTGTAAAGGCTTCTGTAATACCTCTGAGAGCCATTTCAGCCTGGTGCCTTGGGACTGTTAAAACCTCTCTCTAAACAAAAGCTGCTCTGAAAGTAAATCTCATTATCATACAACAGCCCTGCTTTGACCTGGCTCTTTGGTGAAGTGATTGAAATGCAGACAAGCTCCAGCCCCATCACTACATTTACAGGAGTCTGGCAGGCCAGAATCTGAACCACTGAAATAGTTCTGGTAAGGAAATTTCACACTACCATGCTGTCAGTCTGCAGTGACTGAAACCATGCTGAGCCAACTGTTTGGTTTGCAAAAGCTCTAAAAACTGAGTCATAGCCTTGAACACATCTCTATTTCTGAAAAAGGACTGCAGATGTTAGGATAGGGCCCTGGTCAGGACTTCATTTTTGGCTAATGTGTTATTGACAAATAACAAGCCTTCACAAGATTTGCTAGGAGCCCTGACGTGTCATTTCCAGCTGCCACCTAAGCCTTCACAACCTCAGAGCTGGTGGTAGCCCATGTGAAACAAATGCCCTTTCCTTGCAGTACAGAAAGTCTATGTATTCAGGCACTCTTAAAGAGGTTTTCCTGGATGAAACTACAGAAAAAGGAACATAAAGCAGTAAATGGTCTCCACTGGGGAACTTCATTGATCATATCTGCAATCCTGACTTGCACAACCAGCCCAGCAGATAGGGGAGTTACAGCTAACTTTTTTTGCTACCACTATGTAAACCCTGCCTGAAAGCAACAGCCTATTCATATCAGCCTCTAAATACCAGTGTCCTAATGATCCCACTGCACAAAGGGACAGTCAAACAGGGCCCTTCTGCTGGGAGAGAAAATGAGGCAAGCCTAGCACAAAAAAATTATTCAGGAGGTAAGAATGCACCACTGTTTATTTAGGTAGTAAGCATTAAAGATAATACAGGGAATGAAAACAGACATCCTTCTCTTATTTACTTGAAAATCACCAATCCTTTAGGACTGACTGTTGTACAGAATAGGAGAGAATACGTAGTTACACTTCTCAGCAGTTTTCAGCTATGCTGCTGAGATTGAGACCAAAGCAAGAAAGGGTGGGAGACAGTATCCCAACCCTCCTCTGCCTTATCATCTCACTGCAGGTCAAACTGGAAGCAAAAATCAGCCTCAGACAGTGATGCCATGAACACCTGCTGAAAAAAAGATTGTTCAGGGAGACAGTCTGTGATCACTACAAATTTGGCATGACTATTCCTCTAACAAGTTCCCTTGGAAAAAAAAGATCAAGATCTCTTTTTGAGGATGATTTGCATACCTCAGTGCTGGGGAATGGTATCCTATTAACAGCCTTGAATCACTTCCTGGCTCTCATCACAAACGTTCTAACTCTCAAAGAACACCCTACGGGAAGGAAGTACTTCCCTCCCTTCACTGTGCCCCAGTGTGGCAGGACAACAGCCTTCTGATCTATTTTTATATCATCTTAACCTTTTTAGGAGAGCCATTATACACGAAGTAGCTTGTTGCATTGAGTTGAGAAGAACAGCTTTGGAACCTAGGGGAATACCTGGATGTGAAAAACCAGAGATGTTTCCATTCCCTGAGTAGACAGACAGCTTTGAAGCTAGGACTCCTGCATGAAAGCAATTGGACGTATTTGATAGAGGAGAAAACAGGCAGTTTCTGTCAATATTCTTATATATGCATCTTTCTGCTTGAACACCCCGAGTTAAAGTGAATGCAGCAGAAACCTGCTTTTCTTTTCTGCATGCTTTTTTGAAACCAGTCCCAGCTTAGTGAAAACCACACTGTCTACCATGCACCCTTCCTCCGACATCCCAGCAGTTTTGAGAAGCACTATTATTTCCATGTACCATTTTTTCTACAATCTGTAAAAAGAATCCTTTCACTTTAGAGAAACGGCACAAAAAGGAGATCTGGAGTTGAGAAATAGAAGGCATATTCTCACTGGTGCAGAATCCACAAAGCCTGCTGAGCTTCAAGTGCAAGGGATCTTGCTGCAAACAGCCAGCCCAGCAAAAGAACCACTGAGTCGTTTTCTGATGCTTTAGCCCCATGAGCATAGCAGTGCCTTTGGACTAACAAACTCTGCCAGGAAACTCTGCCTTCGTGCTCATCCTTTCTGCTTTCAGTTGCATTTTATATTTGGACTTGTGCAAATCATCCAGGAGGACTCTGACAGAGCACGAAACCCATGCACCAGCATAACTATGATTTAGACAACTCTCTCCTATATTAGGAACTCCACAATGCACGAGGGTTGGCAAATATTCATTTCTAGCATATGTGCTGATCTGCATTCTGTTTGCAAGAGAAGCTGATACCCACCCATTTCACAGGGCTGAGAAGGAATAGGCTCACATATAAAGCCTCACTTACAACCTCACAGTTTAAGGAAAAACCCATGGCTTCAGAGGAATCAAAACAGCAGGTAGGCTGCATGCTGGCTCTCTGATGAAAAGCAGACTTGTATATTCAATATCCAGAGGGCAGTAACACTTTCTTGTAAAAAGCCACTGTCATCTTTGATCCAAGGACACCTCTGTGTTGACTGAATTGTTAAAAATATATTTAATATCATATCTGCTAGAATATGGATCACCTTTTGTATTATGAGCACATTTGTATCAAATTTATGGGCTTAATAAATTATTAATAGATGTTGCAGCCATAAGCAGTCCACATTATAGATGGCTACAAGCAACTCATTACCTGTTGGATTTTGGGAGTCCATTGGAATTAACCATTTATTGAAACTGTTCTAACACAAATACACCATTTTACTGCAGTGTCTTTAACATTCAGCTGAATACTACTACTGAAAGAAAAGGGTATTTCTCACAGCAGGTACAGCTGGGGAAGGAGAAAGACAAGCCCTGGCTACTAACTCCCAATCTCTCTCAATCCCTTCCATGGCCCTGTACTATTAATTCAAACTGCTGTCTCTGCTTACCCATATTTAACTAGGCAATGATTGGTTTTCTTCACAGCTGGCTAGCAGAGATTGCCTTTTGTTCTGCAGTTGGAGACCTGATGTGTCCCTGCAAAGGACAATTAACTTGAAGATACCTTTTACTTGCCCATCATGTTTCGTTTTTCTCCAATTCTTCTTAAATTACAGAATGAAATTCCCTTCAAAAATGCTTTCTTAACACTCTACTTGACAAAAAATGCTTTGTGTGTTCATAGTCAACAGTAAATCACAGATGCAGGGTATGTCTAGTCAAATTGGCTACTAAAATACAGCTCGAAATATGAGCAGAAGCCACATCTTTTCCCCACCTTTTGTTACTTACTTCTGGCATGATTTCGATCTTCTCATAGCGTCGTTTATAGGGAAGAGTCAGGACCTCTGCTCTGCGGTAGGACATTGGTGGAGGCTGACAGTCTATCATCAAATCTGTACGGTGAGACTGGGAGGGTGGTGGCTGAGTGTACTGCTCCGGGCAAACTACATGGAGAGGCTGGAAAAGAAGACTGTGGTGACTTACAGAAATGCCTGGTTGGTTCTGCCACTGCCCTACATCAGTAATTGTTGCCATAAGGAGGTCTGCAGACTGATGTTAGCAAGCTAACTTAACTCTGTGAAAACAACATCAAAAAGATAAAATCCGGAAGATCCAATCAGGATTGAAACAAACAGTCCAGGGAACAAGCAGTATTTACTTTCTATACAGACGGTGCCCAGAGTAACAAGGCCTGAATTTGTATCTTTAAGCACTACATCAATATCAGCAGTCACGTTAGCTGCCATAAGGAGAGAAAAAAATTAAAATGTTCATCCAAATGCTTGTCATCTAAATTGGAAGCAAATACAGCAGTGGTGCAGACCATCACAAAATGGCATGGAGTGAGGCAAACACATCAAAACACAAGACTGCAGAAACATTAGCAAAATAGGCAACTCTGAATTTTCACGACCTGTCAGCAATGCATTAACAAAGCATAAACAAGCTGATTAGCACAGGGATCACCACACGATTTAAGGAAGCCAAAGGATATGACAGAGTTTCTGCCAGCTGCTTTGAGAACAGCATACTTCAGTAGTTACATGGAGGAAGAAAAACAGGCAATGTAATTTCCACCAGTTGTGCAGTGACAAACCAGGTCACAGAATGAGCGGATAAGACGATCGAGACATTGTTAAGAGGTTTGGAAGAACATGCATTTTGTGTATGTGTGATGAGCTGAAGACAAATCCAAGGGAAAAGCTCAGCCAGAAAAAAAATGGGGTGTTAATTTAATGATGTCATGAGTCAGAAACCAAATTTTAGCAGAAACAAATAGGATGGATAAGGAGAGGCCACTAAAAGCAAAAAAAGCCAAGGGGGAGAAGCAGAGACTACCTGAAAGCTCTGCCCTTCTTCCTGGACAAAGAAGGACAGACTGTGCAAATGGAATGAGGAAAGTAGTCGATTTGGAAGTAATATGTGAGCGAGACTCCAAAGCAGTGATGCCAGAATCATGGCAAGGATCAAGTGCAGTATTAAATTACAGGCATGGAGGAGATGGTTAAAGCTGAGGGCACAGAGGATGATCTGCGCTTGGTACACCTTATATTAAGACTGTATCAGACACAGAGAGGCTAATGTAAACAAGGAGGAGAAAGAATAATGGAAAAGTGTCATTCTCTGTGCTTTCTTATAGAGAAAAAACCTGTGTGTTATCTTATTTTGCCATTATTTAACAGTCACAAACAACTTATTTATTTCAGATGAATGTGTGAAGAAACATAAGAAAAGGGAACAAGACTTCATTACCTGGACTTCTTTGAGCAATTTAGACACCTGGATAAAATTCAGTCTTGTATCAATGGGGCAGTAAACACATTTCATGGCCAAAGGTTGATAAGGAGCCAGAGCATCCAGATAAGAGAAATCTGGTTCTGAAAAGAGAAATGTTGAAAATATGGAATGCCTACTGAGAACAAAGGTGGCCGGCTCATCTCTCATTCCACACTGCAGTCCAGACAAGCTGTTTTATAGCAAAGTTAATTCTGCTACAGATTTCTTTTCCCTCCTTCCTTCCCCCATCCAATATTTTCAGTTAATCTGATGAAAATTAACCCCCCAATTAGACTTACCTTAATCAAGCTACAGAGCAATACTATTTCATCTGAACACATTACTGCATGACTTTTATAACAAATTTAATCAAGGCAAAACCATTACCTCTTATTTTTAATCAGATCCTGTAAAAGAAGGCAAGATGTCTAAGTTTTGGTATCATAAGGTAACCCAAATGTCAGCTTGTTTTTCACTGTGGCAGGAATGCAGCATAAAGACTGTATCTTGGCTAAATCTGTGCAAATGTCCCTTCCTGCAAACACACTACCTTGCAACCCTTTTTTCTCTCCAGCATCTTTTTTTCTATCTAAGTGCAAGGTGGAAAAACAAGGGTCTACATTTTAATACAACCAAAGAGGACCTGTAAGGTGAAATGGCAGGCAATTGGGCATTCCACTTATGTCAGCAGAGACAGGTCAGTATGAACTGCAAGCTGCTTACATTAGGGCCTACCCAGAAGCTGAGATGGGCTGTGATAAATGTTTTTAGTTGATACCTTTACTAGACCTAGTAAGTCTCAATTTCCCCTTGTACTTTTAGAACCGACTTTGAAAAATGAGACTGGTGGTGTGCCAGGAAAAATCCACGCACTGAATGTACTTTTACTCACACAGAGTAATACAACACATAATATAATACTGTTTTTACTATTTTTTGGTGTGTGGATCAAAAATGCAAGGTCTGACACATGACACGGTGTAGGATCCATGGATCAGGAAGTGCTTCTGTGCTGGGTGTGGAGCTGTGGCACAAGGACCAGAGAGGCAGTGGGGACTCCTCCTTGGGGATCTTCCAAAGCCCCTGGACATGGGCACCCTGCTTTGGGTGGCCTGGCTGGGGCAGGGGGCAAATCAGAGAAGGGCTGACCAGATTTGTCATGCAGACAGCAAAAAATAATGACCTTAACATTTTACTAATAGAAGTAGAGCATCCATCATTGGTATGGACACCAATGGTATCCAACATTCAGTGCTGGAGCTCATTCGACTGGTAAAGATAATTGCTAGCCTAAAAATCTGATACATCTAAGTATCAGTGGTCATGATGTAGTTATATTTACCTTGTGAGAACAGAAAATAGTATCAGCCAATGATACACATTTGGAACTGTCAAAGGGGCAATTTAACTATAATGCAAGCATCAGTGTAGCTGCCTGGGAATATCTAAGTGAGAAATATTAACAAAAAATGATTCTTGTACGAAAATATCTTATTGGATGCCTCAAAAGCCATGAATTGCCAAACACGAAACAGAACTTACACTGGGCAAACAGCCATCCTAGTTAAAAGCACATGTGTTAGTGCCAATGAATCAAAGCCCAAAAACAGTAATGCGAAAAGAGGCAATAAATAGCAATGCATAATAAGAATACTGAAAAGTAACAAGTTGAAGAACTATCAGTAGTCAAATAGGATTAAACCAGAGGACATTTTAAAATATGCTGGGGAAAAAAAAAAAGAAAACTTAAGTCAACCACTCTGCTAGAGATGTACAATGAAACCGCACACGGTAAATTAAAAAGTTATTAGAAGAGAATTTTTCTATCCCATCTGGCAGTGTGGATGACACAGATTTGACTGTTTATTTCTGAAAATGTCATGAGGCTGCAACTACTCAAAATACATATTTTTGAATCAATAGGTTCAGATAATCTACATGTGTATTTTTTGCTCTAAGTATCCAAAATGGCACCAAATCTACAGGCTCTCTGAGCAACCAATGAGGACATAAGTAGGCATGGAAAAGTGAGAAATTCCAATACCCAAATTCTAAGCTTGAAATTGTAACTCTAACACAGGACTTCCAACATTTAAAACATGTGAAAACATAACTGGAGCTAGTCTTAATATGAACTTGTGATATAATGCAATTGCTACTTTGAAGATACTAAAAAAACAGAATTCAATTGCATGATGGAAGGCAGTACTTGTCAAGGACACGATTTCTGAGAGAATTACAGTTCTTTAGCTTTTTCCCTAAGACATATGATTTACAACTGTGTGACACAGTTATAAAATCTTCCACTGTACAGCACTAATGTGGCATGCATGAGCTGTTTTAAGATCTCCTAGGGAGTCAGTTTTTAATGCGCTGCTGTTACCAGACTGAGAGCAAGAAGTGGACTATTTCTATCATGTTTTCTAAAACTTCTTTGTGGCTCAGTGGAATTCAACATGTTTAATCAATAATCTATTCAATGCTGCTTCAGTGGTAACATATGCAGATGACAAAAGCAAGCAGAGCAGCTCTATACCTCACTCACAGCTGGTGTCCTGCCTATGTGCGGCTGCTGTGCTAGTCTGTATTCTCTTGAAGTTGTTTCTTACATTAAATTGGAAAGGTGGAGACTAGCTAGCTCCTGTGGACTAAAGAAGCACTATCATAATTAGTAAGTATGACTGCCTTGTAGTTTAAAGGTCCTAACTACTAGAAACAATGAGCCTTCAACAGGAGAAGTTAGAACATGACCTGCTGTCACATACTCCTCCAATGGACCGTATCTCTCCCATTACTCCAGGCAATTTTATCTCAAAACAGGAGATGCTAAATAATTTAATAATAAAAATCCTAGATCTCATTGAAGTGCTCCAGATTTCCACTGGAGATGCTAGGACCAGGAGAACTTAATCCACTAGGAATTTCTGCAGAAAAGTAAGTCTTTGTTCCAGCTGAGACAGTCATAAGGAAGAAGGAACATCCTGCTGAGTATATATGCCTATGGACAGAGATGGACACTGAAGACAAAAAGACACAGACAACTTTAAGTAACAAACCACAAGAAGTGCCTGGAATCACAGGCACTCCAAGTTCCCTACAACCAACATAAATGCCAACTGGAGATTTACTTGAAGTATAGATTGGGAATGAATCTCAAAGACCATGATCTGAAGTATCCACGAGTCGTCATACCCTTCATTTGGACAACCTTAACAACTTGCCAGAGCCAAGCTCTAATAGAAGCCTGTTCTATTTCCTCATTTCATGGAAGGATTAGCTTGATATGGAAAGATCAATTCTCTCTTCCTACAAGAAGGCACAGAATAAGATGTTTTGCCGTTAAAGACAGGTTTCTGACATCCTCACTGATGGTGGGTAGCACTTGCACAACATGATTAATGCCACTGATTTCCTGAAAGTTCACAAAATACACAACCCAGCAGAGGGTATACATGCTCTGGCTTTAGTTGAAGTCCCAAATGGAGTAGGAATCACTATTTCCAAAATAATTTATATCTGTACTGCTTTTTTACTGCTTACTCTAATTAGGGCCTATTTTCTGACATTACCCCAAAGGGCAGGAGTGGTGGGCACCATAACATCTATGAAGTTAGTGCTGTGGCATTGTGTACCATTCCCCAGCATAAACACAGCCTTGAGATTGAAGTTTCTAATCTGCTCAGCAGGAACTCTCTTGTATCTTCCCTCCCCTTGCAGGAGGGAAATATGTACTAATTACATACTGCTTTAAATCTACCAATAACCTTTCCTTTCCAAACCAGTATAATAGTGTCACGATACTGTGATGTGTTTTCATACCAATATTGTAAAAGAGTCAAAAGGACTTGCCTATCACTAATTTAGAGAAAAAGAAGGAAAGAATGAACCCTTTTTCCAAATCTGTTTGCATTAGAAGGGTTACGTGCTTCCCAGCAGCCCTATTCACTAAGAAGAGGGGGAAAATAAGCTTAACAGTGGGAATCCATCATGCACTTGCTGTGGGAATAGGTTTGATCAATTACTCAGCGTTCTCCTCCCCATTTCTAATTATTTTTGTCCTAGTCTGAAATTCACAACATTTTTATCTGACTGAGAATTATATTTAACACTTCTTCTATTTATAATAGAGTTCTTTCCACATAAAACGTGTAGCAGTGGCTTTAATGATCATGTCTGAACAGTGCCCACTGCAGGGTTCTGTCTGGATGACACACTGGGAATAAAGAGAGGCACTCAAACAGAACGTCAGTTTAAGGGAAGGTGCTGAAGCATTTCCAAAGAAGATCAAACTGTAGAAGGCATCCCTTTTGCTAGATCTCCCAGAAGCTTCATGTTCTCTTTTAAATACTTTGTCTTGCTGTTAATGACTGGCATGGTCCTGGGATGCAGCTGCCCTTAGGATCAGAGACCACAGCTCACTCTGAGGTGGACAGTGCTCAATTCATTAAATCCATTAAAATTAGAAACATACTGGGACAAGTGAAGGAACTTCAAAGATGGAGCTGTTGTGCCCCTGGCAGTCTGAATCATTGAGAAATAGCTCCCCAGGTTTTCAGTTGGAGCTGGACCTTCAGCTTCAGATACAGATGTGTCCATCAGCTAAGAGGAGTCTGAAAAACAAAGTTCAACCACAAGACAGCAATGGCATAAACCACTGCTGCTAGGTCTGCATGGGGTGAACACTTACTGACCAGCAGACAGTACAGAAATACCTTTAGAAGCAGACTGGTTGCACAAGGTTACTAAGGAGTCGAGCAGCAGTCTGAGGTTGTGATGAAAGGGCAGGAGAAGGTGTGGGGAAAGGCTGGTGATTCCAATGGAATATGGAGACAGGTCTTGCCTGAGCTTAACTTGCAGCCAGCTGCTTCTAATCCAAAAATTAATTTCCTGTAGGCATTTTACCGCTGTGCACAACAAAGGTTTTGCTTAGAAATGGCAAGGATTGACTCTGCATGGCAAAGGATTGGCTCTGCAGGGCTAAAATGAATTAAATGGCACAATAATTACACTTGTCACTACACTCAATTCTGGGGTTTTAATTTAAAATAGCTCTTACTGGAGTCAGAAACTTCTGCTCCAGAACAAATGAGAAAAGCTCCCAGGATGTAGCCACACTTCACCAGAGCACAACTTATTGCTAATTTTGTAATGATAACCACATTTTACTTACCTGTGAATATAACAGTGTTCAAGCTAGATTTTCCCCATAACTCCATGAAATGAACCACATCCCCAAATCTTAGAGAGGGATGCCCAGTAAAAATGACACATGGCTGCTTGAAGTCATTGCTGAAGTCTCCATGGATGCTGGGGTAATGTTTTAATTTGTTTGTCTGAATCAGCTGAAACAAAAACAAAAATTCAGACATTACAAACTTCTCATGCCTCTGTGCCCTGTAATTCCAAGTGTCTATTTACATGTGATTATAAATATTCCACAGGTTATTCGTATTTCACCGTAGAGCCCCTTCCTGCATATTCCTTAGATTTTCCAGTAGATTTAGTCATTACTGTCCTAAATGTTATGAAAAGGAAGTCAGAGCATGGGGCCAGGTGCCTCCAAGTCCTTGCTCTCATTTCTTTGGTACAAGTAAAGAAACTGAGAGGAAACTGCAAACACTCCCTGCTTAGAGTTTCCTGGAGTGAACGGAGTGCTCAACTGCCAAACTCCAAACAAGCTACTTTTTCCTATTTGCCATGAGCTCTGGGTACTGACATTTAACCTGGTTTTCTTGCATCCCAGCAATACCAGGCAATTTTGCCCTCAGCAGTACGTTGTTGTGAGTTTCATCCGTGTAACGGGTTCAAACAAAGCCAAATCCTCTGGAAAAGCACAAGAAAGAACAGACTGTCTCCTCCTTTCTATCACTGAAGTGAGTAATAACAATGAACAATAAGAAGTACTTGTCACTGGAGGTGGCAAACAGAATGTAACATACATGCATGCCCTATGCATGCAGAACAGATTTCTTTACTAAGATAAGGAAGTTTAGTTACCCAGGCACTATTTCAAGGAGAATTTTGCTTTATATCACCTGCCTCTGTTTTCTGATCTGTAAAGCAAGTTTTAACATAAAAGCAATACAGTTGTCTAGTGTGTTGTGCACCTCCACGTAATATTATGTATTTTCTTGGCAGATATGTGTTCCCAACCTCACCATGAAAATAATCTTAAACGTTTTTATTATTATTATTATTATTATTTTTTTTTTTATTTAAAGTATGTGATTTAAAGCAATGAAATCACATGCTGAACAACTAAGAAAACACGAGGAGCAAGACTTTCTCTGCCAGCCAGTTTTTATAGGAGAAGAAACTCTTTCTCAAAGATCTCTCCATACATTGCTGCCTCCTGCCATGCATGCAACACTGCCCAAACTACAGAATTCACATATGCAACGTTCAGCAACACATTTCAGCAACAGTTGTGCACTGAAACCCCAGACAGTATCACTAATTAGCAAACAGCATGCTCTTCACTACGTGTCATAACATGATGGGTGCATCATCACTTTCTAGCTGAAACTCTGTCACTCAAGATGTTTCTCTTCATTGTAGCATAGTTGATTTCCAAAAGAGGAACTAAAAATGAACATTAAAAGAAGCAACTTTTCTGGTTTCTCAAAACTGCATCTCACCTTTTCAGATTCTCCTCTACTTGTTATATTTTGCCACGGTAGATCTAACTCAGATTATGCACCTACATGCATACATGGATATGAAAAGAAAACTGAAAATTCTGGTGTATCTTTAAGCATCTAGGCAACAAATGCACAACAAAGCACTTTAGAACTTAAGGTTATTACACAGCAGGTTCTGAATTGAATTTAGAATATCAACCCTATTGCACTCAACTTCTAGCTGGCACTACCTAAAGGTATGCTTTGGTGCTAGAACAGATAATGTACAAGCTTACCCTCAATGACCCCTTAGTAATTGAAAGTTGGTTGCACGCAGCTGCAAATATTTGTATCTTTCTCTTTTGAGCTTGATCTACTTTAAATTACTAGCAGCAAATATTCTGCTGTGATTTTGCTTCCCATTCATTCTGTTTAAAACTGCTACACAGTACCTGGATGACTGGAATTGAACAAAACTGGTATCATTCCTTCTGGGGTTTGACACAAGTTGGAAACTGCAGGTGGACACAGCCTGTTCTTGCCATGTGGATCCTTGGGTCACAAAGGAGGAGGCTGGGCCACTACACACTGCAGCTTACTAGTAACATCAGATTGCTATTTAGTCTTCAAAAGGGAAAATTGAAAATACATCCAATAACTGCTCTGGCAGTTAATATGCACTCAATCTTGCAAACATTCTTGCAATTAAGGCTGATAAAGATTTCCGATTAACACATCTGGAGTGCAATATTTAGAATCTAAACTTAGCTCCAGTGACAAGAACTGCGGGTTGGCAGACAATGGGCAAAACAACTTTGATGCCACAAAAAAAACCAAACACTGGCATTTAGAAGAACAGGAAGGAAATGGACCCATGAATTTTGTCTTTTGCCAAAATGGGAAGTCAAAAGTGCCAAATCAAAGTTGCAAAAGCACTTTCAATTGGGTGGAGAAGGGAGCAATTTCTATTCCAAAGACCAAATGGGATATGTGACACTACAAGTCTAAACTTAAAGTCAGGGACCAGCAGCTACACGAAAGACATCTTCACAGCTGCCATTTACATAATGCTTCTGAAAGTCTCAAACTGTTCCTCCAGCACCCTGATCCTCAGCTTCCTCAACATTACATATATTTGCACACAGCAGCACTCAGATTTTGCTACACGTGACACCTACTTCACTGCACCCATACAAATGTATGTTTATGAACACAAAAAGCTGCACTGTTATCAAAGCATTATGGCAGCTTCAGGTTCCTTCCTAATATTCAAAGAGAGAGACACAGGACCACTAATTCAGTTTTCAGGACTTTGGGTTTTGTGAGCACTGAAAATGATTTTTAAGTTTCAGCAACAAATCACTGAGCATAACGTGGTGCCCTGCTTCTAAGTGGGGTGCTAAGTCAAGAGGAAAAATGGCTATGTTGGATCCTCAGCACCATCTCCTGAGCTGTGGTGACTCTTTAACTTTTTTTTTTTTTTTTTTTAATAGTAGAAAATCTTGAGTGGTAAACCCCCAGAAGCTCTGTACTGTAGCCCTCAATCTTCACCTCTCACAGTTGGACATAGCAGGGGTGAAAGGCTACATAAGCAAGTTTAGAGACATTCTACTCACTCCAGTGATAAAGCAGCTGGTAGATTTTATCATCTAGAGCAAAATCTTTTCTAATTACCCCATCAAAAATATATGGAGCTGAACTTGCAAAACAAGTCCAACAAAAATTCACAAATCATTAAGGGGACTAAATCTGTAATGATCTGCATGATCTTTTAAACCTACAGATGAGAAGGGTTGTATAAGCACAACTGTCATTACTGTACCCCGTTCAGAACTCCAACCAAGCCTGGGCCAAGGCCAATATCTGGCATTTAGTCAGTCCATATTTTCAAAACGGGACTGATTTCTGTAAACAACATTCAGAACATTTTTTTGTACATAAAGAACATTTATTGACTGAAAGCTTAAGAGATAGGGGATGGTAAAGCACTGAACTGAGACAAAGGACTGCTGTGTTTTTTTAAATCCCAAATGGTTATTATTCCCTTTAAAGCAGTACACTTGATTTACAGGGTCAGCAACTGCTGCTATAAACAGGATAAATCTCTAGAGCCTTCATGTACCTTTATTGAAGTCAGCCAAAATACACTGCTATTTACTCCGTGTGTTTTTGTGAGCGTGTTCTGTATCCAGAATTTTGAACAGATGTGGTTCTTATCAATGAATGAGGGATGTGTGGACGACTTTCTCTCCCTCACTCCCTTCATAAGACCAGTGCTAAAAGGGGCCTAATTCTGTACAGTGCTAAACAAAATATAATATATACGATCATTTAGTTCCAGGTATTTATTGTTTTGAATGCGATATGCAGGAACTGTTATATGGAAGAGGGAAGCAAAGACAAAGAAGATAAATGCTAGTATTTAAGACCACAGAATCAATATTACTCCCTTCCTGGCTATTTTCAGTCAGAAAAACAGGCTTTTCATAGCCATTTCTCCTTGATGTTGCTAACAGACCCTAAGAAAGAGGACAGTAAACTCAAACTTTTCCTTCACCAGCAAATTCTGATCAATATAAACCACCTTGCAAATATTTCTGTTGCAGCCATTTAGAGAAGCATTGTAAAGTCAGGATTCACTTATCTCATAGCGTGGAATCAGCTATGTAAACAATGAGCAGAAAGGAAAACGAGTGAAAGCTTCTCAGTGTGCCTTGTGAGAATAATTCTGCTATTCACTTGTATAGTCTCTGCTTTCACAAAAGGAATGGTGCAGAATGTAAAATCCATGGATCTGTGGTTCCTGTTAAAATGTGGGATGTGACTAATTCAGTGGGCATGGTGGTGGCAGGTTGATGATCTAGATGATTTTAGTGGTCTTTTCCAACCTTAATGATCATAGAACCATAGAATGGCCTGGGTTGAAAAGAAGCACAATGCTCATCCAGTTCCAACCCCCTGCTGTGTGCGGGGTCGCCAGCCAGCAGACCAGGCTGCCCAGAGCCACATCCAGCCTGGCCTTGAATGCCTGCAGGGATGGGGCATCCACAGCCTCCTTGGGCAACCTGTTCCAGTGCCTCACCACCCTTTGAGTGAAAAACTTCCTCCTAAGATCTAAACTAAACCACTCCCATTGATTCTATGATTCTAATTCCTTAGCTGTGGCTGCATTAGGATGGGTTTCCCATGCCCTCCTAGGATGTGGTGAAGCACCACAGATGACACCAAGTTGGGAGGCAGTGTCGATCTGCCTGAAGGTAGGGAGGCCCTTCAGAGGGAGCTAGATAAGCTGGATGGCTGGGCTGAGGTGAATGGAATGAGGTACAACAAGGCCAAGTGCCGGGTCCTGCACTTTGGCCATAATAACCTCATGCAGTGCTACAGGCTTGGAGCTGAGTGGCTGGATGATTGTGAAGAGGAAAGGGACCTGGGGGTGTTGGTTGATACTCAGCTGAACATGAGCCGACAGTGTGCCCAGGTGGCCAAGAGGGCCAACGGCATCCTGGCCTGCATTAGAAATAGTGTGGCCAGCAGGAGCAGGGAGGTGATCATCCCCTGTACTCAGCACTGGTGAGGCTGCACCTTGAATATTGTGCTCAGTTTTGGGACCCTCACTACAGGAAAGACATCGAGGCCCCGGAGTGTGTCCAGAGAAGGGCAACGAAAGTGGTGAGGGGTCTGGAGCACAGGTCTTATGAGGAGCAGTTGAGGGAGCCGGGATTGTTCAGTCTGGAGAAGAGGAGGCTCAGGGGAGACCTCATTGCACTCTACAACTTCCTGAAGGGAGGCTGTGGTGAGGAGGGGTTTGGCCTCTTCTCCCAGGCAACAAACAGGACCCGAGGAAATGGCTGCAAATTGTACCAGAGGAGGTTTAGGTTGGACATAAGGAAGAACTTTTTCTCTCAGAGTGGTCAGGCACTGCAATGGCTGCCCAGGGAGGTGGTGAAGTCGCCATCCCTGGCAGTGTTCAAGAGGCATCTGCATGAGGAACTACAAGATTTGGTTTAGTGCTTGTGGTAGCAATGGTGACGGGAGGGCAGTTGGATGATCTTGCAGGTCCTTTCCAACCTTGCGATTCTATGATTCACCATGAATTGGCTTGGGAATACTGGAATAACAAAATAACATTCCTAAAAAAATAAATTGCTGATTTATGTTCACTGCACTCCAGTTAGTGGAACCTAAAACTTGGAGGTCCTCTTCCCCATCATATGATAATCCCCTCTATGATAATTAATTACTGGGAAAAACCGAACTGCCACTATTTTGTAACCATAGAGGTGAGCCATCCACAGAGATTCGTCCCTTCCCTGTCTGTTTCTCCATTATATTTCTCCAGTTTTTCTTCTGAGAAATCACTGGCTGGAATGTAGTTTGACTCCAGATCCTAAATTCCCTCCAACAGCATCACAGCAACTCCCACCCCAGCGATCACAGAGGAATGCCTTCCTAAAGCAGTCCTTTTAGCAGTGCACCAGCTAAACTGGCTGCAGCTGAGACTTCAAAAGCTTGTGTGAGAATTCGGACACCCCATTCATATTAACTTTAATAAGAATTGATGTTCAAATTCCACCTACCTCTCTGAAGCACTTTAGCCCACATTCCTTGCTCAGTGCAGAGGGAAAGCATATTCCCTGTTCACTCAGACTGGATGCTAGGAAACAAATTGCCACCCCAAAGAATCATAAATTTTGCACTGTGATTGTGTGGGAGGAGATATGTTGAACATCTACTACTCCATTAAAGAGCAAGAAACCTGGAGGGAATAGAAGTGTTTTGGGTTCTCTGCAGAGTTGAACAGTGTGTCTGGTTTCGTTCACTACAGCAGAACAAGGAATGAGTTCAGAGCAGGTAACATAAATCACAAACCTGGAAATCTTCCATGCAAAGGGAATGAAAAGCTTTAGAAGGCTTAGTAGAGAGAAAAGAATAAGATGCTCTTTCATGCTATGCATGAGGCACCACTGGAACTCGTTGCTGCAAAAGACTATCAGCAGCTCGGAGGATTTTTTTCCTTGTTTGCTTTTAAATTTTGTTTGTACATCTAATAAGAACATCAAATTTCAGGACTAGACAGCATGCTGGGCTGGACCTGTTCTGTGGATAATTAGAAGCCTATTTCCTGGCCTGTCCCTCTCTGATGCATCATGCCAGACACGTTATTAATGCTTGCTAGTAACTGAAAGGCACGTTTGAGTAATTCCTTATTTTCTTCCAACAAGTGAGCAGCTAAGCAAATCTTTTCATGATGGACAATTTCCACAGAGTTTACACAGCACAAACTCACCATTAATTTGAAAAATGTAAGGCAATTCTCCACTAACAACCTATCCAAGAGACATGATCATTCACTGTCTGTTCCTGGTACTCATTAAAAATTTCCTTGAGCGTTAAAAACCAAAACTGATCACTGTGAGGTTGTGGAGTCACAGATTTTGAAACAGTATTTACCTACGACAAAAAGGGCTGACTGCTGGTTCAGGTTCCAGCTTAGTAACAGGAAGCCAGGAGTCCAAGCTCTTGCTTCCTCCTAGACTGATGGTGTGGCCACGGCCATGTTATTGAGGTGAATACTTATGAATACCACTCTGCTTGGTAAAATTACACCAAAAACAGCACTGCAGCTGAGCCTGGTGTGCATAGACATAGCAGGGGAAAAATAAATTTGTTAAAGATTGTGTTGAGAAAAGGTTACACAGAAGTTTCACATTATGTAAGTTACATATACAGCATTAGCTGCAAGATTTTGCGTGGCCTTCCCCCCTCATCTACAGCATTTGCTCTAACTCTGTATTTCACAGGAGAAACACAGCTCCTCTCCTTGGAAGCAGTAGAACAGCATTAACCACTACCAGCTGTGGGTCTCACTGTAATGCAACCTAAAGCACTTGACAGTCACCAGAGGAAAAGGTTGATGGTAGCTGTCCCCTGCAGAGCAGCAACAAGGAATGATAAGCATCAGGTGAGCACTGCTTACCTGACATGGCCATCTTGGTGCTGCGTTGATGAGTGGGGCTGTGTTAGGTATCAGTCATCTACAGAAATCTCAGTATGTTTTGACTGCTTAAAACCAAGCCGTGCATCTCACAGAACAGAAAGGAGCAATCTGATCTGGTGCTCTCAAGCATGTCTAAACTTCAGTGATTTATGTCCTCAAAATGAAATAGCAGGCTCAGTCCTCCTTTGCCTGGGTATTAGCTTCCTTTGGTTTTGCTGCTAGGCAAGCTTTTGAAGGTGTTGCTGTGTGCCCAGGGCCACTGCCTACCAACACACAAAGTGGTTTTGCAAAACAGGCAATATGTATCAGGAACAAAAAATGAGAAGTTAGGTCACTGAGATCATCACAGGGCAGGAGAGGGCCAAGTGCAGGTTGCTTCACTTTCAAATGTTTAAACAGCAGATGTAAGCAACCACTCAAAATGATAATCTCAGTTGTATTAGATGACTTGCTGTGAAATGTGCAATACTTCAGACTGCAGCTCAGCACTGTAATGCCAAAGGGTGTTTAATAGTTTAATAATTTAAAGGCATTTAACAGTCATTTAATTGTTTGGGAGCCACAAGGGTGTGGATGCACACTATTGTGTCATTTAGGCAAAAATTTAGGAAGCCTTAGGCTGGCTTCCTAGCAATTACACCCATGGGTTAAATAAAGCTATTTGTGCATCACATGGTAAAATGCCCCCAGCCTTGGGGGTGATAGCATGATTTGGCCTTGTCAAGCAAAGCCTCTACCTGTGACAGTCACATCATTCCCTCTGTGCACTTCGTTTTGTCAGGAGACAACTGATCCATTATCCACTGCTGTGAGTGCTTTCCTAGATAATTACCTAAATATACACATAGCACTGAGCATTCAACAGCTAAACAATCATTTGGCAAAATCTCATTATCAAAAAGCCTCAGGAGCACATAAAATGTCCTAAAAATTAAAGGACATAGTTATCACTCTATAAACACAAAGACCCATCATTTAAGATGGCTTAGAGCTTCTCATTTTTGGAAGGGTGTTCACTCAAATCTGCCAGTTCCAGTGAATTAAAATTTTGAAGCAATGTCTTAAGAAAAATGTAGGAGTCAATGAGCCAAAGACTCTGTTGATCAGCAAGGATACCCTGAACAACAGAAATGCAAGGGAAATTATAAAACATAGCCAGCAGCAGGGCCACAGAAACTCCTACTCAGAGATCAAGCTTTGGGACTGATTTACTGGCGTGAATGAGATTTTTGATTACAAGAAAGAGGTGCCTTACAATCTGCATTATTCTTGATAACAGAGTATTCATCATTCATTGTGCATCATCCTTGAAATATATTCAAGCATGTGGAAAGAGCAAGGGCTTCTGGTCAGATCCTATTTCTAACAGTGCTTCTGAAGCACCCACAGATGATAGATATGACAGGTAGAGGCAATTTCCAGAACAAGCCCGTGCACAAGTTGCCTCACAGGGAAAAAAGCATTTCGTCTCTTACACCTGCAAAAGCTACTCTCTCCACATCCCACCAGAAAACTTTGATCTCGTCAACTAAAAAGACTTATCTGAGATCACACACCCCAAGGGGTTCACTGTCTCACAGGAGCAGGTAGGAGTTAGCTAAAATCTCTTCTCAGTCCCATCTCTTCCTCTCCCAGTTGCCTCTCATTTACTTCACTCACAAATCTACTTGTTCCCAGTGGAGGAAACAGGAGATTTCCTTCCTTGACAGGTGAGATAACTGAAAGCAAAAGTTATGCTGTGTTTATTTAAATGTCTGATGGCCCTCAAATTATGTATTTTGATGCAGAAATGATGCTCCCACAGTGCAGTGCAGGTTAGATCCTTTTTAAAGACAGGAACCTTACTTCTTTTTTTCTTCACGAAGATGCTAGCTCAAGTAATTTCACATAAAAATTGCCAGTAACAGCACTGCTCGGTGCTACAAGCTTCAACTTTCTTATATCAGCTCCCTATTTCACGATATCATTTCTCCTGCAGCAGACATCATGGTGCCTGTTTCAGCTAAAGGGGTAGGAGCCGGGATGACTAAGCTGTCTCTGATAACAAGCTCTTAGTTTTACAGACTCAGAAATAAACTGTGTGGACAAAGGGAATATTGGTGGTTGCAGTGTGATAAGAGCAAACATCGATCCATGTGTACACCAAATAGCCTTCTGTGGGCAAAGAAATACAGGCAAGCATACGTAAGTTATATGCTGAAATAAATATCATGGTAATTTTTGAGTTGAGGGAACACCATCATTCACTCTGCTCCCACGCTCCTAAATTAATCACAGAAAGAAGAGGGAAAAAAACTTGGATGAATAATGACACAAAGCTCAGAAATAGCGCTCCTCAGAAAAACAACAGCCACAGGAAACTGCATTCCTGAAACATACTCACTCTCAGATCTTAGCAAACAGCAAGGCTATGGTTTACTTACCTCAGCGTGAGGAAAAGGAGGTTCTGGAAGATACACCTTTGTTTGTTTGTTATGACACAACCTTTACAAGAAAAGGAAAATAAGTAGGGTTAGAGAGCTGCAAACATCCTGCAGTATCTGCTGCCACCTACTGTTTAACTTTTCCTGGAAAAAGCTCTCTCTTGCCCGTGCTATCAGGAACAAAGTCACTGATTTGCTCTGCTGCTTCTGTCTTTCTGTTTACATGGCCAACACCTACTGGACACAATGACTCAGTCACAGCTAGATCACTTGGAGAAAGTGCAAGGCAGCTGAAAGTATTACGCAACAGAGCCCTGCTGCTGTTGAAAACAAACTTGTAACTAACATCCAGCAAATTTTCCTTCCCAAGTATCCTTCAACAGAGAAATTCCACTTGCCTCATCCTTCTTCTCAGCAACGATTTAGTCCTTTCATTCATTATAATCTAATTCTCCTATGCATTTTATTATTGCAGATACAATGTTGGCAAACTGCCCTTCATCCCGGCACAATGCTCACTGTTCCCTGCTACTTTCCATCGATCTTTTGTTTTTAAATAGTAAATATTGAAAGTTGTTGATCAGCTCCAGCCAGAGCCCTCATTCATCCTATTACAGAAGACAAACAAAGATTTTTGTCAGAGGTCTGTGTGATGTTACAGTTATCTGTAGTGACAATGTCCTGGTGGCTTTCTCTGGGAAACACTACCCTTTTCTCATATATTCTTCAATTTATTATAAACTAAATTTAATCACGACTAATAGATATTAAGAATAGGAAATTTCTTTTAAATGACTAAATAGTAGAATTGAAAGGCTGGAATCCCTGAAAATCAGCCCCAGTTCTGACCTCAAATGGTTATTTTACAGGTGTTACAACATCTGTCTTCATTTTCACCTAAGTAAAAAGTTTACCTTACACACCAGTATTTGGAAAACAGCTATTATTTTGGTGCTGACTTTTGAAGATTAGCCTCTACAGCCAAGGAGAATTTAAGTAAATGGTTTGAACACTTGGGTGGCTGAATTGTCCCAGCTAGACATAGCATGCAGAAGAAGAGCTTCAGTGGTGCACTGCACTCTGAGCTGCCTTACAATTCACCAGAGAAAGAACGGAAAGTTTCTCTTAATTTGTTAAAAAACTGGGAGCAATCTCAAGTGGTTGGGATCTCTTCTTCACAGCTCAGAATCACAGACTAACTGAGGTTGGAAGGGATCACTTTGAGATCGTCTGTTCCAACCTTCTGTTCAACTATGTTCAACTACTTGTCCAGGATTACATCCAGCAAGATTTTGATATCTCCATAAATGGAGATCTCTAAGCACTCTGTTCCAGTGTTCAACCACCCACTGCACAGTTTAAAAAAAAAAAAAGTGTTTCTTTTGTTCAGATGGAATTCCATGCGCTTTAATTTGTGTCCATTACCTCTTCTCTCATTGGGCACTACTGAGAAGAGTACGGATCCTTCATCTCAACTTCCTCCCATCAGGTATTTCTACTCATTGAAAACACTCCTCTGAGCCTTCTGTTCTCCAGACTGGAGAGTTCCAGCTCTCTCAGCCTCTACATACATGAAAGAACACCTTCGTTACCCAGAGCTGGACTCACTCCAGTACAACCGTATCTTTTTTGTAGTGAAGAACTCAGAACTAAACACAGCATTCCATAAGAATCCTCATGGGAGCTGAGCAGAGAAGTATCACTTCTCCCGACCTGCTGGCAATGCTCTTATGTATAATGCAGCCCAGAATATTGGCCTTCTTTGCAAAGAAAAATTAAGTTGGCACAACAAAATTAAGTTGGAAAAATCTATTTTCCTTATATAGAGAGACCATGGTATCATCTTGGGAGTACTGGATGAGACTTGCAAACAGGCACACTTAAAAATCACTCAAGTCATGTATATCATTTAATCACCTGTGCAAGTGCTAAAAAGCACATACTATTTGAGTTTGCATGTTCTACAGGAAAGAAGGCTTCCCTAATTATACAAGATTTATTTACATGAGCACATACACCTTTGTAAACATGTTCACAATTCTAATGAAGTATCAGGTAGACACAACCTACACGTATCTATTCCCCATAGTCAAGTGTGTGAACCGAGCCCGAGAAAGCAGCCCTTTAACACCTACCACTCAGCAAAGATCTGGGAGAACTCAAGTGAGCTGTTGGCAACAGGCGAGATGAAATAAAAAGGGACGTTGGAGAGTCCAGCAGAGTCAATATACTGATACAGGCACTCCAGCAGATCGTATATTACTCCAGAGGGGTAACAAGGAACCAACACATTTCCTCCATTCCGGACAGTCATAGCTAAAGGAGAAAGAGAAAACAATTAACAGGGTTCAAATTAAAACTTTGAGTTTCTTTAGTACAATGTATAGAAAAAGTACCGTTAGCATAAGGTATAGAAAAAAAACAAAAACTACTGCACAAATTAGCAGAACATGTTATGCATATGAACAGGGGAACACTTCTGATTGTTAAATACATTTATTTACTGCCTTCTCCAGGCTTAGCAGGGTGAACGATTATAATGCTCCGTTAGCTGGGGGGCACATACCAAACCAAGCAGATGTAAAACTCCTGACACGAGAGGGCAGTCTTGCACTGGCACATGAAGACAAATGGCAGTGTGACATGAAACTCCCACCATCAAAATAAACCCTGCTCCATCTATTACCTGTGCACCAGATGTAAAGAACAACAGTTCACAGGGCTCACCTGAAAGCACTAAAATGGTAAACTGTTCTGTGCTCAGTTTTCTTTGTGCTAGATGAATGGCTGAAGGTCTTACAAACAAACAGCCCTCAGAGCTAGAAGTGGGTGAGGGGAGTGCTTCACTTTTCTGAAAGTTCTAAATATTTTTTCAACATAACAAGAGCAATTTAAAAGCCCAATAAGTTGTAGACAGCATTGGACAAGAGAAAAAGATGAGGAAAAGCAAATCTCTTTAATCGAGATTCATCTGAGTATAAATGCAAATACAGAGCAAATATTTTGGGCTTTAGCAAAATGAATTACAAAAGTGCTGTACCTTATGGGAAAGAGGAAATACTTGGTCCAGCAATAGCTGCCTCACTAAGATTTCATCTGTGGTCATGGGGTAAAACCATCTACTGATGTTAATTGCATTGCAGCAGTAGGAACATTATGCGTCAAGGCATTACACAAAAAGCTGTGAAAGAGCCTGAAAATGCACATATTAAATCTCACCATAATCACTTCCTTGATTTCAGTTATTGACAAGCTTTGCTGGGGTATGGATCTAGCACATTAAGGGTCTTTTTGCATCACCTACATGCTCAAAGAAGATTTTTATGGCTGAATGTTTAAAGGTTTTATGGAGTCCAGGGAAATGCACAGACTCCAAAGTGAGATTTTTTACATGCATTTAGGTGCTTAACTTCTTTTAGGAGCCAGTGCTATTACACGTTGCTCTCAACAACACTGGCCAAAGACATCTCCTGTATCAAAGCTGTATTACACAACATTATCTGCAGTGTCGTGCGTTTATTGTTCAGGTCTTCTCCGAGCCACATACAAACCATACCATCAAAATAATTGTGAATCTGAAAAGCAATGCTTTACATTTTCCTAGAATTTGGGAAGTTACAAAACATCCCAGCAACGTGTTATATTATCCCTCTTACATGGGCAAGTCTAAACGATCCCATATATAAACAGGATGTGAAGAAAGGAATGAGGAGATTAAGAACGATATTTTCAAAGCCATCTGGGGGCTGAAAGTTAAGCCTCTGGCTCCAGAAGCAGAATTGACATTGCTTCATTACGCACCTAAAAACCTACAGAAAGGAAAGATAAGTACCATAAGTACCTGTATCCACAGTTGTAAGAATGCAGCACGGACAGAGAGGGGGATGCAGAGTGGAGAAGCGATCAGTAGAAAATGCTAAGGAAAGGTGTGTTTGCACTTCTGCCCTGAATGAGGATACTGCCTCAAACAGCAAGATCTGTGTCTCCTGGGGAGGCACTAGCACAGGCTGCTCAGAGGAGCTGTGGATGCCCCATCCCTGGAGGTGCTGCATAGGTAGCCTGATTTTGTGATGGGGTGAACATCTCACAACAGGGGGATTGGAAATCAATGATCTTGAAGGTCCCTTCTGATCTAAATGATTCTATGATGGTCCTTGGAAAAGGTACCTTCTTCTTTCACTCAGACATCAAATCACCCAGTTAAGACAAATATTGAACTCCTCAATTTTAAGAGGCAGCAGGAAAATTTCATCCAATAATGGACTGGTTAAAGAATTTGTGCAGGCTATGAAAAATGTGGGTTTCATTATTAAGCCTCAGAGTTTGAATTTTCAGCTCTCCCTTCCCTGCAGCCATCGGTTTGCTATGGGAACCTCAATTTTTTTCTGCTGAAAACCAGACATTCAAGATTCCTGGGGTCAAAGAGAAAATAATAAAGGGTAAGGCCTTTGAGCAGATGCCAACTCACACTTCAATCCCCAGGAAAATTACAGAGCTGGTTAGCATTTTACACTAAATAAAATCACAATCCAAGGAGTGGAATACTCATCCATCCACAGATCAGCCCCTTGAATAGCAATACACCTTTGAGACTGGCCTGGTGAATTCTCCTAATCCTCTGCACAGGGGAAGACAGCAACACAACTTTCCCACCCCTGGCAAGATTGTGTGTCAACCTTTTGACTTAATTTTACCAGTCAGTTCCTTGGTGCAACTTTGTCTTTGCTTACCACAGACAGTGGGCACTAATAACTGAAGGTGCTCTTTGTGGTTATGTGAAGGGAGAAGGACTACCTCCCAGCTTCTCCAAAACAGAGATGAACACCTGTACAAGCACACTGCTTTCCATGCAAGTAGCAAGTCCAATCTGGCTCTCTGTACAACTTCCTACAGTTGTCAGTAAGAGGACACGTATATTTGAAAGCTGTTTAAAGCCCAATTTATCTCTGTGACTGATGGATGCAGTCTCTTGAAAGAAGTTGTATAATAATCTTGGCATTTCAAATTTAGTCTTCTTCAGTAGCTCCATAACAAGTTGTTCAATTTACAGCCTACAATGAGATACTTGCTTTTCAAACAGCTGCCACTGCAAGGTCAAGTTGGCACCTAAAAAGCAAACTGTGCTCTTTTATGCTTTATATAAACATGTGCACACAGAAAGGCATGACCGAACACGCACGCAAAATATCCCAAAACTGTCCTTGCCAATAGTCTGGTAATTTAGCTGATGATGCCCAAAGCAATGTAAAAAAACAACTGCTTTTCTGAAGCTGCAGAGTGCTGGTAAGGCAATGCTGTACCATAAAAAGGGGTTGGGGCTAAACTTGGTGACAAGGCAAAGCGTGTTTCAGTGCAGCACACACAACATGGAGAGCTCTACGTGCTGGGATGAAAACAGAGACCAAGGTGAAATTTTCACACTTAGTCACAAACTAACATTACCTTATGAGACACTATTTTGATAAATTTCTAATGACTATCTTTTTACCAAGTGTATTTTGAGCTTCTTGTGAAGTTTGTCAAACATTTTGGGAAGGCGAAAACATGAAATCTATGGTGCTCAGCTTGCCTACATTACTGCTTTTCACAGTAACCGACTGGTTTTTGGACTTCTTGGATGGTTGGACTAGACAATCTTAAGAGGTCTTGTCCAACCTTAATGATTCTTTACTCATCTATAAGAAAATGGATCTGTTTTCTTCTTTTGATGTTGGAGTAGATGCGTAAGTAGTACTGGGAAGTGACTGCTCCATCACTGCATTCTTCACAGAATTACTACGCAGACTTCTGCAAGATCTTTGACATGGTCCCCCACCACATCCTTATCTCTAAATTAGAAAGAGATGGATTTGACTATTTGATGGATAAGGAATTGGTTGGAAGGTCACAGGGTTGTGGTCAACAGCTCTACGTAACGAGCAGCATCCCCTACGTGTCTGTCTAGGAACTGGTACTCTTTAACGTCAATAACAGATGATGGGATTGAGTGCACTCTTAGCAAATTTGCTGATTGCACCAACCTGAGCAGTGCAGGTGATACAGCAGATGGAAGGGATGCCATCCAAAGAGACATTGATAAACTCCAAAAGTGAATGCTTGTGAACCTAATGAAGTTAAACACAGCAAAGTGCAGAGTTTTTCCACTTTGGCTAAGGTAATGCCAGTATGTATACAGACTGGGAGAACTCCTTGAGAGCAGTCCTGCTGAGAAGGACTTGGGGGTCCCGGTGGATGAAAAACTTCTCATGAGCCAGCAGTGTGTGCCTGCAGCCCAGAAGGCCAATGGTATCCTGGGCTCCATCAGAAGAGGGACAGCCAGCAGGGACAGGGAAATGATTATTCCCCTCTACTCTGCCTTTGTGAGGTCCCAGTTGGAGTACTGCATTCAGGTAGGGGGCCCCAGTGCAGGAAAGAGCTTTGGGAGAGAGTCCAGACAGGCTGAAGGAACCAGGCTTGTTCAGTCTGGAAAAGTGAAGGCTGCATGGAGACCTCTTTGTGCCTTTCCAATATTTAAATGGAGTTTACAGATATGAGGGAAATCAACTTTCTTACAAGAGGAGATAGCGACAGGACAAGAGGGGATGGATTTAAACTAAAGGAGAGGAGATGTAGGTTAGATGTTCAGGGAAGTTTTTTTTTTACTGAGAGCTGAAGTGCTGGAACAGCTGACCTACAGATGCTATGGATGCTCCGTCCCTGGAGGCGTTTAAGGCCAGGTTGAATGGGGCCCTGAGTAACCTGATCAAGTACCTGAACTAGCAATTGGCAACCCTGCCTGTGGCAGTGGGGGGTGGAACCTGATGATCCTTGAGGTCCATTCCAACCCAAGTCATTCTATGCTTTCCATGACTCTATGACTTCTTCAGGTCAATGCATTTTTTTTTTTTTGCTACACAAATTCTGGATTCTTATAGAATTTAAGCTATCTTCCTTTCATGTTCAATTGTTTTCTAATTTCTCTGCATTTATCTCTTTCAAGATAGAATCTGGCTCAAAGATATACTGCAAAATCTTCAAAATAGTTCAGAATGTTTCTCAGATAAACACCCACCTGTATCTACATATGTAACACACTTATTTATATGCATTCCTCTTTCGGATTTTGCTTTGGCCCAAACTACAGCTTTAATATTTTAAAAGCACTTTAATTAACAACAGCCTCACTATTGTTTACTTAGCGAACAGCTGCTGCAGTTAAAGGCACTAGTGACCACCAAGCTGCTTGATAAAACACATGATTTGGTGGATATCTTGCAGAAGAGATGGCAGTAAGGCAAACGCTCCTCAGCCTCTCCTGTAGAAAGACTAACACTGCTGCTCAGCCTCTCCTTGGTGGTTCAGGATGATAGAAGTCCCCCCCGACAGATGGCAGCTCACAACAGCCCCCATAAAGGTCCAGAAAAGACAGAGAAGGGCAGCACATCTGCACGTAGCACAAGGTCACCAAAGCTCATTTGCCACAGCTTGAAATAAAATTAACAAAGCTTATAAACAATGAAAACACAGCCCTTAATGCACACACACACATATGTAAACATAGGCATCACTTAGGAAAGGAAGTCACAGGTGTTAAGAATTTACAGAGTTCCAAGAGGAGGTCGAACAAATTCCTGGAAATAAAATCCACTGAGAATTACTAACTGTACAAAAAGCCATGTCTGATTGAGGAAATTCCTGAAACAAAAATAGTTCAAGGCTAAGAGATCATGAGGGGAAAGTATCATACAATCTCACCCTAGTCTTCTACGATTCTCTACATATCTGCTTATAGTCCCTGCTATTGACAGATGGGATCTTTGGTATAACACAAGATCATCATCTTTGTAATAGGTATTTATATCACAACTAACCATCCTGACCCCATAATTCACTTTCTCCACGTAAACAAAACCCACACAATTTTACCTTGTACTTCTCACGTTAGGACCTAGGCTTCTGTTTGAACCAAAACACAACCTAATTAGGGATATTTGATTTTCGTTTGGAGAAGGCAGGTGATGGAGTAATCTACCACATCCCTTTTATTATTTCCCTTCCACTATTGTGGCAGTCCCATACTGAGACTCTGAAATATGATTATATTCAGCATCTGTGAATATGCACAAGGATTTAAAAACAGAAAAAGTATTTTTTTTTTTTTTTTAATTCTCCAAGGGTACTTTTAGATTTTAAAAGTAAGATTAAGAACTATTTACACTTCAGTTCATTCTCATCTTTATCCTGCAACCTTGGGTAAGTCATCTAAATGCAATAGCTCAAATTTCTCTCAGTTGTGCAAAGGGGACCAGAACACATGCTTGCAGTGAAGATCCCCTGATTTAAACTTCTAATGCCTTATAATAATCTTTTTAGTAGTTCTCCTGTAGTGAGTGTTTTAGTTCTCTTGAGAAAGGCAACACGTAGCAAGACAGGCATGAGAAAGTGGCCTGGTGACAGAAGGGTGAGAACACAGAAGAACTGAGGTGGGGGAAGGGGAGAGAAGGAGAGAACTGAACTGGATGTGACATTCTGAACAGGCTGGAAAATGCTGCCATTCACACTGATATCACAGCTTTGCAATTATCAGCTTTTCCAGCTGTGAAAGCGTCTGATTAGGTTTTGTATTTCTGGAGTCTATAAATATATCTTGATATATTTTTTTAAGCAGAGATTCTGCTATTTGCTTTTGATATATTTAAAAATCAGGTGTAAGAAGAGAAGCAGATGTGCTTGTTTTCAAAACTGAATGTCATAAAAAAGCATGTAAAGATTTTATACTATCTGATATAGAGGAAGGAAATAGCAATATTTCAGATGGGAACAATCTTCAGTACCGATGCAACTTGCACTCTGTTGGCAGCTAAGTGACATACTTAGCAAACCAAGAGCAGCAAATGATTAAATCTTGTAATACCCCTTCCATTCCAAAACATTTTAGGTACAGCTTGTGTCTCTCTAAGCACTTACTGTATTAATGACATCAGGAGCACATCGTAAAATCTAAACAGCTAGTTTTATGCCAGAAGATATGGCTGGACAAGTTATTCAATTCCAGGAATCTCAGAATTACTTCCCACCCAAAGCAATGAGCAAGATGATAAAATACACACAAGACTTCACTCAATGACCTACCCAAGTTGCTGCAGAACTCTCCTACCATGCCATCTGGGTTAGCAGTAGGGATCTGTGTAAGACCCGTCAGGATGAGAACATCACTGTTTTTAAGAGAAGCCTGGTCCATGGGCTGAAACAGAGTACAGTGAAATAAAATAAGTTACATGACAGTCATCACTCTGCTTTGCACCAAGAGTACTGCAGTGTATAACAAATACAGTGATCAACAAGGAAAACATACTGAACACTTAAAACTAGTAATCCCTTTATCTGTTAAGTTAATAAAAACAATTGTTTACCTGTATATTTACAGTACAAAACAAGCAACGGAACTGTAACTGGATTCAAAGTGGTATTCTCTATAGACTAATCATTTCATGGCCTTATGAGTTGAACAATTAAAGACAATCATCTGTTGAGGATGTAGCACTGCAATCAGGAAGGGTTTCATTCTTGTGTTCATATCTTGGCTGCACTAGCTTCCAGTCAGCTTCCTTTTGCAAATCACAGTGTCAGCTTCGATTTCCAGTGCTCAATGTCTTGTTGGGTGCAGCTGAATTTTCCCCAACAATTCAGTGGGTTTTCTTTGAAAGAGGTGAGATGCAAAGGACTTGGGCTTGAAGCTCTCCATTTCGCTCATGAATCTCAGTTCAGCACAGGGGTCCTTCCTTGACTTGTGAATCCTGCTTTTTTACTCATAGCATTACAATCACGACTTTCAAATGCTCATTTAAGACTGTTTGTGCAAGCCTTGTCAGAAGATGGCTTTGGTGAAATGGGAAATAGCTACTGCTGGTAGCTATACATTATATATATATAAACCAACAATACATTGGTTTAGATTTCTTAACACTGATAAATTTTAATTAATAAATATTTACTGATATATCCTGACTTTTTACTGTAGCTATAAAATCAAGCCAAACATACAAGTATTTTCTTAAGTCAGTGGAAAACACGACTTGCCTTATCACCTTCCACACACGAATCACACCAGCACGACAGCTTTATCCTGTATTTCTCTTTGAAGACTGTGCTAGACGTTTAACTATGTCACACTGACATTTGTACCTTCATAGGGCAACAACCACTGGCCTTGCTGTGTATGTTGTACCAATGGCCTATGGTCACAGGTACAATCCCATTTATGTGCTTAAAGCACTGAGGGTGGTTATCACAAGCAGCATGTTGCACACTTTCTATCCACGCCATGCCTTCTTCCTGAGGACAGAGGAGTTTACTTCTGCACTGTCTATCCTGTGCACAGGTGTAACAGAAGTATCAATGATTTAACAGCCCAAAGAAATACTGCGCTGATTTGGCCACTGGTAGGTAGTATGTTCAAGCAAACATTGCTTCTACTTTGACTGTGCATAGAGGTGCACACTTCTTCACTAAGGCTGATTATATGACTCATTTTATACCAGCATTTCATTAAAGGGGGATGTAAAATGTATGTCCACTTTTCTCTATTAGAAAACATACACTAAAAATTCAGAAATTATTCTTGTGTGACCTGATACTAAATTATTTGTATTCTTGATACTCATCATTCAGCATAATTCAATCAAGAAGAGACAAAATCCACTTGCAGGCAAAGTAAGGCTACGGGGAAAAGCTAAATTTCAGCATACATCTCCCTCAGCTACTATTCAAACAAAGGAAGGCAACTGCAGCCATGTGCATGGTATTTTATGGTTACTTATTCTTGATAGACTCTATCTGGTCTCACCAACCAAGAAAGATTTCTACCCTTCTACCAGAAGAGACTGACAAAGGTATCTCCTCTGCTGAACTCAGAAGATCACTGCACAATTAGTTGCCTTACTCACTGTCCCTTAATGCCATTCTTAATTAGTTAAGATCTTGCTCTCATGAACATGGAGGGGAATTTCATACCAATTTCAATAGAAGTTTACGCTGTGCACCACCTTGCTGGACCAGAGCAACTACATTAGATTTATCACAATCTTTGACACTCCATAGCGTGTCCATGAAAATGAAATGCCAATAATGCAATAAAAAATAATATTGAATCTGCTTGTGATAATGTACGTAACGATTATGCCGTATTAGATACACATAATTTCAGCTGCTATTGCACTGAAAGGGCTTGCATCGATTTTTGTGGGTTAATGTAAAGAATATGCCTTAAAAGGCTTTTAGTGACACGTCTGAACCTGTGCTGTCAACTCCAGTTCTCCACTTCAGTGCCAACAGGCAATGGTGTCAATTCTAGACTCAGCAGACGGTGAGGCAACACTTCCAATAGAGACCATTTGCCAGAACACAGAAGTAAAGGGAACAATTAATGGTGTCAAACCTAACTCTCAGACGTAGCATAACTCTGTAGATTATAGATATAATCTATATGTAACTTAAAACTTCACGAAAACTCTAAGCTGTGATTTATACCAAAAAAGCAATTCTGTTCCCTCCCCACGGTGCCTAATTCCTACTTGTGCTGCTAACTCCAACATGACAGCACTTAAATCCCAGTGCTGGCAGGAAGAAGGACACAGGGGAAAGATGGTGGGGTCCTAGGCTGTTTCCTTCAAGTGAGATTATCCTCATCTACATACTGAGATAAGGAAATGCTTTCAAGGCTACTACTGCATATAACAGAGAAGGTGTAAAGAGGAAGAAGCTTTGTCCCATTAGTATGCCCAAATAAGCCGTGTCCTCTCATCTTAAACAAACTACTGATGAAAGCCTGGTGACATTATACTAATTTTTAATAACTATGGAGGGAGTTCCGGGTGACTGGAAACATGCTAAGACTTCAATGTGACTCCAAAAGTCAGGATATGTTTTTACATAAGCATGCTGATTAACAGGGTATCTTTAAAAAAGACAAAACTGACAACAAAAATGCAGTGACTGCATTCACACACTGGAGTTTCACTGACTGCTCACCATGATTCTAAAGAGGTCAGAAAAACAGCTTTTCATTTTGATGAACAACTGCTGGATTATTGAACAAAATTTAGGCTGTGTGCCAACAAAGATATTGTTATCACTATATATTTTCTGTCAAACATATCAAACAGATGAATAGCTGGTTGGCAGGTCTCAAAAACTACTAGTCATTGTAGAATTATCATGTTCTAGGAGCTCATAGTGGTGTCTATGAGGATTAATATTAGGTCAAAATCTGTCCACTGTCTTCAACAGCCACCTGGAAGAACATATATAACAATAATACCTGAAATGCAAATGATCATAGAATAGTTTGAGTTGGAAGGAACACTTCAAGGTTATATAGTCCAACTGTCCTGCAATGAATAGGGAAATCTGCTAGATCAGATTGCTCAGAGCCCCATCCAGCCTGACCATGAGTGTCTCCAAGGACAAGGCATCCACCACCTCTCTGGGCAATCTGTGCCAGTCCCCAACCACTCTGACTGTAAAGAAATTAAATTGGAAGGAAGAGAGGAATAAGTCTTCTCTCTTTTCGTTGAAACTCTCTTTCTCCTTGTCCTGTGACAACAGATCCTGCTAAAAAGTCTGTTCCCCTCTTTCTTATAGCCTACCTTTAGCTACTGGAAGGCTGCTCTGTCTCCCTGCAGCCTTCCCTTCTCCAGGTTGCACAGCCTCTGCTCTTTCAGCCTGTTCTAATAGGAGAGGCATTCCATCCCTGAGATCATTTTTGTGGCCCTACTTTAGAAGTGCTCCAACACATCCATGTAGCGATGACTCCACATTTGGATGCAGTGCTCCAGGTGAGATCTCACCAGTGCAGTGTAAAGGGGCACGATCCCTCTCCTTCGCCCTGCTGGCCGCACTGCTTTCGATACAGCCCAGGATACAGCTGGCTTTCTGGGATGTGATGGCACTGTGCTGGCTCACATTCAGCTGCCATCCACCTGTATGCCCAGATACTTTTCAGTAGGGCTGTGCTCTATCCTTACAACCTCCAGATTGCACTGATAGCATGGGTTGCCAAGACTCAGTTGCAAGACCTTTCACTCGGATTTATTGAGCCTCATGAGATTCACCCGGGCCCACTGCTCAGCTAATCTAGGCATGTCTGAATGGCACATCCCGTCCCTTGAGCATGTCAACCACACCACTCAGCTTTATGTTATCTGCAAACTCGCTGAGAGTGCACTTGGTGTCACTGTCAATGTCATTGATGAAGATGTTAGAGAGCACCTGTCCCAGCACTGACCCCTGAGGGACACCACTTGTCACTGATCTCCATCTGGACATCGAGCCATTGACCACTCTGTACCCTCTCTGGATACAAAAGTGATCTGATACCTGTAACATTTGTGATGTGGTGAATTACAAGAAAAGGACAACCTGGATGCATTCGCAATTACTTCATAAGCTATTCCTTCAAATTACACGTTAGTAAAAAATAATGCAAAGTGCAGTGGACTGTATGCTAAAAAATAAATAAATGAGGCTCTCATCTTCCATGTGGTGTAAGAAATAGTGTTGGTAGAATGAACAGTCCAGTCCAAACCACTTCCTATAGAACCACTGAATCACAGAATCACCAAGGTTGGAAAAGACCTCTAAGATCACCCAGTCCAACCATCCACCTATCACCAATATTTCCCACTGAACCACATTCCTGTAGTATGCAGTGTTGCCTGGGGTTGTTGTGGCCAAAGTGCAGGACCCAGCACTTTGTCTTGTTCAACTTCAACCCTCAGTGCAGCTATGCAGCCTGTCCAGATCCCTCTGTAGAGCCTTCCTACCCCCAGGCAGATTGACACTTCTTCCTGACCTCCTTACCTGAAAATTTACTGAGGGTGCACTCAATGCCATCATCCAGGTCATCAACAAATACAATGAACAAGACAGGTCTCAATACCAAACCCTGGGGAGCACCACTTGCAACCAGCCACCAACTGGATTTGGCTGCATTCACCACCCAGGAAGTGGAGGTCCTGCAGCCAGTTCTTTACCCAGCAAAGAGTATACCTGTCCCAGCCATCAGCTGCTTCTCCAGCACTGTGAGAGACAGCGTTGAAGGCTTTGCTGAAGTCTAGGAAGACAACATCAACAGCCTTTCCCTCATCTGCCAGGTGGGTCACCCAATCATAGAAGGAGATGGGGTTGGTCAAGCAAGTCTTGCCCTTCATGAACCCATGCTGGCTGGGCCTTGGTTGTCCCTCACAGATCAAAGTTTCTCCTCACAGAAGTGTTACATTCATGCCTTGTTAAATATTGCTGGTGTTCCTTCTGTAGAAGGTCTCAAAAGAACATTGTCCAGACCAGGATGAAGCAGATGATGGAAAAAAAGAAAGACTCTGATGCACTATGTGCAGGTTAAGTACAGACAGACACATTATGTATTGTAGTTGTTCAATTCTTGAGATCAAGCTTTTAAACGAAGGGTGCTCAGAAGCAACACTCTTTAGAAGATACTCACCTTGGGGGGAAATTACTTACTGATCATGAACCTGACACATTTTCTAAATTATTTTTAAATACATTATGCTAATATTGCTTTCAACTATTTTGACAACTTCTGAAGCACACAGTACTGCAAACTTCAAGCTATTCTTTGCGCGAAAAATTTATGGATCTAGAGAGAATTAATTTACTGGAAATTACATCTACAGCACTATAAAGACTTTGCCCTCAGCAGAGCAGGGTGGAAACGTTGGCAGCCAGTAAGCTATCATTTCTCCCAAGGAAGGATGTTTCAGAAGTGATATAGAACAGTCTGCGAACTGTCTGTAAAGACTCCTAAAAAAAAAAATCCATATTTTACTGAGAGTCACTAATGGTCTATTGTTTAACTCTGTTGAAATTTTCCTACTTAAGGTGATGGAGAATTCCACAGCAGAAAGTAGGTTAACACCAAATCATCAATAATAAAGAATTTTAGTTGTCCTTCTCCAGTAACATGCCCACTTACCAGGGTGGTATGTCTTCCTAATGGCCAAAGTCCAGCCAGTTATTAACAGAGGTACATCTGTACAGTTTCCATGCTATGCCTGATCTCAGCAGAGTGAGCCCTTCTGTTGATTTTTCTTTGTTGATCTGTTTTTTGGTGTTTTCTTTTTTTTTTGGGGCAAAGACACTTGCCTAAATAGAAATCTATCAGAAGTGTTGTACCTGAGGATGTGTTGTAAGCAGAGAAGATCCCGAAACATAGGAAACCTTTTCATAGTGCGACTGGATAATCCAATTGGAACTTCCAAGAGCGTAGCCTGAGCTGAGAGGGGTGACCTGCACAGCACCAAACAACTCCTGAAACACACAGGAAGAGAAATTAATTTGAGAGAGCCTGAGAGAAATGAGAACAGGTTATTTTATCATCAGTAATAACAACTTAACCTAGTTCTGCAATTCAAGGCCTTTATGAAGCTGGTATTTGTCTTATGTCTGCTGTTTCAGTTTCCCCAGATCTAGAAGAACACAAGCTCTGAGAAAAACTTCTCCTGAGGTAGTCTTCATCAGGTCTCTCTTCCATGTTAATCCTCCAGTAGCTGAGTTCACACTGCAACATAATTCTCATTGGAGGAACTAATTGTGGTCCATCTGGCTTTATTGTACTGAGGAACTTTGTAGGAACTTTAAATCTTCGAAAACTTTATACCTCCTTGGGCAAATTTTATCAGTAGGAGAGCAGGAAGGGCAACATAACAAGTTATGTATTGATATAAAACTGTTTGACTTACAGCTTTTTCTGTATAAAATGCATATTTAAAGACAAAGTCACTTTACAATTTTACCAATGACTTAGCATTAAAAAAAATTTCTAACTATTTACTGGTGATTTAAAAACAATTCCCTTCAAACTCAATCCAAATTTCAGTTACAGCTCTGAGCACAAGCAACCTGTTAACTGTCTCATTTCCAGGTGTTATTGGAAAGCTTATTGTTTTCTGTACACAGCAATGTGTTAGAATTGTTTGGAGAAAGGAAAATAAGCCTCCATGTATACCTCACTAATGTGCTGTACTTTCTGGTTACTGAATAATAGAACAAGCATTCATGCAATACTAATGATTTTTCTAGTATCCCAATACATACTTGGATGCCTCTCAAAACAAGGTCTCCATTCATCTGAGTTCGTAAGCGACAGAAAATGGACAACAAACCATTCTTGATGTTGCCACATTTGGGGTTAGCTGACTAATTAGGCTTTCATTGTTTTAAAAGTAATCTTTGGAAAGAGATAAAATGCTCTACGAATGTCTCTTCCCCCTCTCTCAGTAACTATAAAAGAATGATTAGCTCAGAGATACAGATCTAAAACTTGGTGAGATTCAACCAAACTGTGAGGAAAGTCAAAAGTGAAGAGTAATTACCCACTGACATTGAGGAATTTCAAGTACACTCAACCTGTTTGGTTGCTAGACAAGAATGCAGCTGTTATTCACATCAGCACCCACATTAGTGATGGCTCAAGGTCTTTTCTCTCCAGCTGTAATGCAGCACCACACAAACACAAACCCATCCAATTTAGTTCCTAGTTGCACTGGTTATTGCTTCAAAATGTCTTAGATACAAACAGTAGTTTCTGAACTTCAGCAGCCCTTCACTAAAGAAAAAGGAGCAAACAAAAAAATCTGGGTATACAACTTACTATAATCCACCTTTTTACCTCATGTTGGTGTGCAACACTAACAGGCATCACGGTACACGTGCTGCCCATAAGAGTGTACTGCAGACCACTGAACTGTTGGTCCAGTTCATTCTACAAACTACACTGGATTATAGTTAAGAGCATTAGGTACAACAAACCTTATCTGAGAACCTAGGGAAAGGAGTGTTTGAAGTTCAGGTTGAACCATTAGGTTTTGTTTACAATCCCTCATTTGCTCTGTAAAAGAAAGCGGAGGCTAAAGCACTCAAAAGATTCCCAGAAGTGAGATACAGTAACTCAGAAGGGGATGTGGCTTCACAGACAGAGAGGATACATTCATTTGGTACATCCTCCAAGCCCTCAGTGGGCCAGACATCAATTCTAAATTCACAGGTATGCCTTAAAATTGGCCTCCCCTGGGGAACAGGAGAGACAAATGGATACTCTGATTTTCAACAAACAACAATCCTTCCTGGGAGGCAGACTAGGGTGCATTTCAATAATACCCAATCTAGCCTTACTTTCTCAGGTCAGAGTAACTAGATCTTTAACAGGATCTAGAAGAAAAATAGAAAAGGGCGGGCATTTCTCAGGCTTTTGTAGGGAGAAAGCTGGAAAGCATCAAGCTGTTAATGTTGACCTGAGGAAAGATCTGCTGATACTCACGATTTTCTGGGAATATCCCACCAGCTGGATCTTACTGAGAGCAGCATTCACTTCAGGCATGGTGTAGCACTTCCTCCACATTGACACCTCCACTGCATCTTTCAGAGGGGCTGGTAGCAATCTGCAAAGGTCAAAAGAGTCTGGGCATTTTCAGAGCTTCCTGATAGATCACCTTTCCCATTCATATCCTTAGAGATTCAATTTTCTCTTTTTCCTCCCTTTTCTTCTAAATATGTGCTTCAAAGTGAGAAGCAAGACTTTCTGCATGTTGAGAGGTAGAATCAGATTGTCTGTTTTACCTCACTTTTGGCTTTCTTATTATTGATCCTATCCAGCCTTCTTCACAGTAGCTGTGGTGAAGGTGTTATAACAACTCCAGTGTTATTTTTGCCACCGATGAAGGATGTCAACATGAAACGCACTACTAGAATTGGTAGAGATGACTTCCATCAGCGTCTACTCTGCATAACCCAATTCTAAAACTAAGAATTTGAAAATCAAAAGTAAGCTTCAAACTTGTGATTCAAATACCAGTACTGGAACATTAACCAACACTGGCTCTGCTCTCAGTTTTGACACACACCACTGTCCTATAGGAGCATGTGTCCTTGCACTTCAGATTCTTTGCCTTCAACACAGATACCCTGCTCACCCTCAGAGCGTAGTGGCAACAATACATCAGCTGACACTGCAGAGCACTTTGAGATCCCCTACACGGAACTATTCAAGATGTTTTACACCAAAGAAAAATCCATCCATTCTGCTATTCACAGACACTGCAAGTTAGCTGGACAGCGTTGTCAAGGGAAGAAGTGAACTGAAATGTCACAGGCTGTAAGAGAGATGGCTAACTTCTGGGAAATAAATCTTCCTTAGCAACATGAACTGAGGCAGGAAGCAGCACAGCTGCCAAATGCATAAGAAGAATAGAAATATATTTTTTTTGTATATTAAACCAATGGTAAATCAAAGGCTAATTCAAACCAATTTCCAAAGATTTATGGAAATTGGTGAAGTTTCTTTGATCAATTTGTTTAAAAGAATTTAATTTATTGTTATATCTACCAGGTCACTGAACTCCTCCATAATTTAAGATAGTGAAGAAAGGATTAAGACCAGCTCTTGCCAAGCCTGCTGTATAGGTCTAGTGTGATAAGTGTAATTCCAGCACTTGCTGGCTGAAAGCAGACTGTGCTTAAGGAAACAAACAAAGCGTTCAAGGTCTTTTTTGGGAAGTCATAAGCAACAAAAGGCCAAACAACGTGGATAGTTGTCCACCACTGCACTGAAACAAATTGCCTGTAAAAGCCTTTAACCTACCAGAAGAAGCATTTAGTGCTGGATGCTTTCAGGAGCTTCTCTTCTGGGAAGGGGAGAATATATCTCCAGGTAATGGAGAAAAGTGGGGAATTGCCTTTGGTGATAGAAGCAAGTTCCTATTAGCCTTGACTCTGTGGCTCCACTGTAAATATGCTCTGATTCCCAACAGAGACCAGTGGGACCAGTCTCCAAGCTGTTTCATTCTTTCCTGGTTCCTCCGATGTGCCCCTGCTTGCATTCAATCTGTCACCTCATTTCTAAAATCTGTACCCACTAAGGATATTTTAAAGCTGTGAGTGAAGCTACAGAATCACAGAATGGACAGGGTTGGGAGGTATCTCAAAGATCATGAATCTCCAGACCTGGACACAGTACTCCAGATGGGGCCTCACAAGAGCAGAGCAGAGGGGAACAATCACCAGTCCCTGCTGGCCACCCCTCTTCTGATGGAAGCCAGCAGACCGTTTGCTTTCCGAGCTACAAGAGCACACTGCTGGCTCACGTTAAGCTATTCATCCATCAAGACCCCCAGGTCCTTCTCTGCTCTCAAGGACCGCTCCTTTCAGTCTGTATGGATGCCTGGGATTCCTCTGGCCCAAGTGCAAAATCTTGCACTTTGCTGTGTTGAACCTCATCAGGTTCACCCAGGCCCACCTTTCTAGCCTGTTGAGGTCCCTCTGAATGGCATCCCTTCCTTCTACTGTGCACTAAAGTGACATCCTGTTCAGATCACCTTGTAACAACCAGATGTATATGGGTAGATTCAGGAACCTACAGCCATGAACAGGGAGGTATTGTGAAGCAGCACTATCTGGTCCTTAGTATAAAAAAAAAAATCATGCCTAAGTAGCTCAGGGCCTTGTATTCTTAACTGGACATCTGCAAAGATCAGAAGAGTGCCCTTGTTGTCTGCTACCCTCTTTCAGGTATACTCTGTTTCAGACACTTTTAGAAAGATGCAAGAGAACATCAAACAAGTAGTCACCAAAACGTCTTTCATAAGGCAAACTTCCTGTTTAGCCCCTTGAATCCTAATCAGCACCACAAATAACCTGTCTGAGCATGTAGAGAGCTTCCACGAGACTGCTCATTTCAAACAAAAACCAATGGCAATAGAACTTGCTAAGCAATTAGTTTAGACTGGATCAGATAATGGCAAAATGTAAGCCGCAATAATGAACTTATTATATTTTACACGGCATTTGCATTTAAAATGCTTCAATGCTTAATCTAATGAAGATAATAATACTTTGTGTTTTATACTAATTATTCAGAGTAGAACCAGCTGAACTGTAAGCAGTATGATGATCAGCCTGAAAAATTACAGTCAGACTCAAAAGTAATAAGTACTCCCTTCAAGCAACAGCCAAGAGTTAAAAAAAAACAACACCAAGAATCACATTTTCTTAAGTAATGGATATCAGTCTAACCCTGCATGTGCAATTAGCCAGGTATTAATTTGTGGATCTGTGGATGTTTGCTCACATGCTATAATAATCAGTTCTATTCATGCTTGCATGACACTTGCCACCAGGAATCTCAAAACATCTTGCAACATTAATTAAGCCCCCCGTTAGCCATTATGGAGGGTAGGAGTTCCATTTAACAGAAGCATAGGGAGGTGAAGAGGGGAAACTCATAGTACAGGCAGGGCTCAATTGGAAAGAGAATTTAGATCTATCCTGTTCTAGTTCACAGAAACCACTGGTTCATACCAGCCTCAAGGCTGAGTTTAGAACAGGAAGATTTATAACAGCTGCAGGGCTGCCAGTTACATCTGGTTGTCTCCTCATACCATTTCTTTGCTCTGCCTCTGGCTTGTATTTGGAAGAAGAGTACATTTTACCTCTAAAAGTTGAAGGACCTGTTGTCCGATTGAGGTTCTCTGCAAGACATCATACAGTGGCAGTGCTATGGGATCAACAGAGATCCTGTAAGTGGCACAGAAGGGTTGGTCCAGTCTATCCTAGGGGGTGGGCTCTTGTACTTCCCTCCCACCTCCACTGGTACCTCATCATAACACCCACTTGACAGAAAGGAGAAACTGTGGATGTTAGGGCACATCCCAAGCAAAGGGAGACAAAAAATACTTTTCCTGTGGCAGCTGAATCAGAACAAAGATCACATCTCTGAGTACACTTGTGGAATAGTCAACAGTGTGTAAAGTGCTAGCCAGCACTTTTTCTAAAATACGACCACCAGGAAAGTGACATTAAATGAGCTCTAAGATATATGATCCTCCTTTAAACCATGCATACAAAACACAGGCACTAGTGAGACGAGAATAATGGCTCCAGCACTCTTTCATCACACAACTGTGAGCCTCAGGAGTCATTCCACTCAGGCCAGTGGACTTAAAAATTAAAAGACACCACTTTGACAGAGTGTACCTCAACCAGGACAAAATCCTTATCAACCTTATCATCTTTGGTTTTGTTTTACATCTTTGTTTTGCTTGCCTCCTTCAGAAATGCGAGTTACTCTGCTGAGATAAGACTGCTCCTATGCTCAGCAGGGGAGTGCACTATATAGCCAAACATATGTTAATTTGGATTTTTAATTTCCTTGCTTTGTGATATTGAAATGCTACTTTTACAACTTAGGAAATAATTCATTTTTAGTAAACTCTTAAATCACACCACATTAAGAATTAAGAATAGAAAAATGAGAGATCATTTAAAATGCACAAGGCAGCATTTAATAACTTTCTTTAACCAAGTCTGTATTTAAAATGCACTAGCAACACAACTATTTCCTCTGTAGAACATATTGTGCTCCTAAAGTTATCTTTACTTCCAAGGAAAGCATTAGCTGCTATTAACAAACTATTAGGAAAACTTTTGGATAACAGACGCTCCCAAAATTCTAGAGGTAGAATTTTGAACACCTCAAATCTCAATTTTGAGCATATTGGTTTTGTATATACATGGAGTAACAGAGCTTGAGTTTCCAATTAACTTTTTTTTTTTTTTTTAAAGCTTCAATTTGTTTCTAAACTTTAAAACAGTGGAAAAAAAAACAAAATCTTTTTGTTGCTCAAGTGTGAAAGAGGCTGCAACCTGGGAAGAAAGATGGCACTGCATGGTGGTTTGCTCCCAGTTCCAGCAGTTCATTGTCTACTTTCTTAGCATTTTGGCAAACATGAGCACAAATGTTATTTTAAATTAAAACTATTCCAACACAACATTAATAAGTTTAAACAGCTTGCTAACTTCATCAACTTTTTATGATGCTAACACAAAAATCCTCCATTTTTATCTACCATCATAGGAGCTACACTACGTGAGGGAAGATTGGGGAGGCATGTGCCTTACCAAGTCTTCTACCAAGAATCAAGCTTGTTAGCTCCTGTACACCACTTAATTGTCCTTGCTGCATAGTGGCATTAGCAAATCAAACCTCAAACGGTGGCAGCTGACCAATCTTTACACTTAATGCTAAAGTTTGGTTAGAGTTTCAGTGTTTCAGGACAGTCACCCTACCCAGATGGTTTGTTTCTTACCTCTGTACCTCCTTGTTCTTCCATGTGGAGGCAGACTGAGCCTTTGGCACACGTTCAATGGAATTCACCAGTTCTTCCATGAGAAGTCTGAAAACAATAATGAAGTTATTGGAATTGCAGTCTTTCAGGTAAGACATAACCCGATTTGTCCCAAATCACTCCAAAATATCACACAAATTGTAACATCAAACGGTTTTAAAGAAGGCTTCTTCCTCCAGAGGCACCACAGCAATTATCAGTGCTACACCTGTTTTCCTGCTATGTACATCAAATTTCAGCTAGTCCAATTCTATCGGACTGATTGCGACAGTAAAAGTAAAAATCTGACTGATTGTGACAGTCTACTGGGTTACGGGTTATTGGGAAGGGAGAAGGGCAGGAGGAACTCCCAAATTTCTCCTGCTACGCAAGATGATTTCTATATTACTGCCTGCTTGCCATAAGGAATGAGAAAAAATATACTAAGAAAACGTGTCAGCTGATGTCTTTCTGTTCACCACTTTGAGAAGTCAAGCACTTATCATCAGAGGGAACCCTCCTCGTCTACAAATGCACTGTACAGTATTTGACACAGAAAAACGTCAGTCATTACAAATTGTTCATATGGATTTCTGCCCAAAACTAAGCAGCATTTGCAGTTGAACGCACGCTTTTCTCTGAAGGCAGGAAACGACAGATTTAACTGCAGAAGAACAGTATCCTGACTTACTTGGGATGGTGAGAACCATACCAGAGTCTACCCTCCAACAAGACTATGCTTGTTATCTTCAGCTATGGGCCAGCAAGAGCCCAGACATCTACTACTTCATATTTACATAATTCATTTCTCTTTCAAGAACCTTTAGTTTTTGTTTTTAAACAAAGGGAGAATTATTCTGGTGTGGAAATTTTGTATAGGACCTTTAATAGACAAAGGTTCCTGCCCTAAAGTGCTTACAGCAGAAGTTCAGAAACCACAGCCTAATCTGATTTCTAACTATTGAACATGGCAGCTGCTCTGCATGAGAAATGCACACAGCACAACTCCAGTTAGACATATCCAGGAAGAAATCTGCAGCCTTTACTTGCTGGGATTGACCTATTCGATCAACAAACTTTGAAAGAAAGTACTACCAAATTAGACAATCAGATGTTAACTTTTTGATAGCATTGGAACACCTTGCATTTTCTGCTTTTCTCTCTGCTCCTCTTCTCTCTACTCCTCTTTTGAGTTAGAAGCTTATGAGAGAATCTCAACTGTCATTTGAAATGAAGCCAGTTTGAATTCCCTTCCATGGCACAGAGACTGGTATGAATCTCGAATGCTGAAAAACTACAAGGCAATAATCTTAAAAGCATTTATTAAAATATTGGTGACTTCTGTTTAAGGGGAGCAGAGAGGACAAGAAAGATCCTTGATTCATGTTTCTTGAAGGTCTGAAGCAGGCTATGCAGTAACTGCTGCTCAAGGTATCTCTGTCCACCCAGTATCTACTATTCCACATCTGCCTGGACTCAAAGCAAAATATCTGCTGTAAATGACAGGCAGTTCCAGAGTTTGGGAAACACTGAGTTAACACATTTTCAGCACTAAGGACTTGGATGGTATTCAGCTACCGCCTAAGAGCCTCTTTGGAACATTAGACACCACTCCTCTACCCATATTATCCTTTACACCTTTTCCTTAGCAGTGATGAAAGAGGAGCAGAAGATATCAAGGGGCTTTTTACCTGCCAATTTGAACAGTGGGCTCAGTGGCATACACCGTTCCAGTGAATCCTGTGTACTCTGTGATATAAGGCAGTGCCATCATGCAGTGATAGTTTGAGATTAAGATTACATCCACTGTGGAGAGGTCAAGCAGCTCAGTCTGAAAACAGAAGAAAGAGATAAGCAACGTATAACTCTTTCACCCAGTTTAAGCAATGACAGGAAAACTTGGATTTACTAGAAGTCTCTCTATAATTATTCTCTTTTCAGACCTAAAAAGGAAACCAGGTCCTGGGTTTGCCTATGTTTCATGTAACGAAATGGCTGCTGCCAGGAGAAGCATTATGATCACACTTATCAAAGAACTGATGGGTGCACTTCCTTAGTGAGGAATGGTGGCTGTCCAACCACCATCACTTCCTCACTAACAATTCATCAGTGGGTCTCATACTTTTTATGCTGCATGTGATACAGCACCCCAGGAGAGAGATGAATGTACACCGTATTTATGAATATGCTTACAACAATTTATATATATTTTCCCAGACTAAATGCTTGACATCTTCATCATCCACATTTTCTACAGCTAGAGATTAAGCTCACTCATATGATACTACAAAACAGATGGGTGGGTCTGATTTGTTTTGATGTGACAGTTAAGACAGCAGTTCAGAGAGTGAAAGGAGAAGATTTCACACGTTGTTAAAGGAATTTTAATTAGAAATATTTACTGGTAATGCTATAACACAAATGGTGTCAAGCCAGAAATTTACAAGATATATGACCTCTAACTCAGTTATTATAGAGCAGCTAATGGAATTCAACACTCATCAAGCACATATTATCTGATTACAAGGCTTGGTCCAGCAATTTGAATAAAAATGGCAGGAAAGTAGGTCACTTGTCTTTTCAGAGGGCTGACATGGTGTTCTGGTGACAAGCTGCTTAACTCACAACTAACTGGTTTCAATCCATGATCACAGCTGATTTTAAGAGCATGATCTCCAATCTAAGCACAGTAAGTGAACACTGTCCTCCAATTCATGACAGGACACCTTTTATTTTACAGAGCTTGCCAGGCAAAAATACACTGCATGGTATGAAAGAGTCTGCTGCTGCCTGCTCCTACCAAGCTGGTCCTTCATGGTTTGGTTTTCAGCTGTGTCTAGACTATAGAGAATCAAATGAGCTGAATCCCAGACCAGCAAGCCATGTAGGGGTAGAAGATACAGACTACCATTTGCCAAGCTTAAGCGTCCCATATCTCAGCATCCTAGAAGCATTTACTAATAGGATGAAAAAGGGTGTCATAACCAAAACAAAGTAAAATCTTCCCTGGGATTCACAGTAATCTCAGTAAAAGTGCCTATGAGGAGATTTAAAAATGTTTCTTGAATGTGAAGTGAGAGAGATCAGAAGGTTGCCAAGCAAAGAAAGGGCAGCACTCTGACATGTGGAAGTGTACTCTGCTGCTGAGACAGCCTCTTATCACCTTGTGGCTTCTGGACTACGTTCAAAATTCAGCTTTCTTTGGCAATAGCGTTCCTGGAAGTGATAGTGTGATTCTGAAACTAACTGCTTTTGCAGACAACTTTCTTCAAAAGTAGTGATGTGGAACGAGAAAAGGACAAAGCCTTTTTCACACAAGCTCCTTCTTATCCTGTACTGCCAAACATCAGCAACATTTCTACTTTACTGATGTGCCTGCAGGCTGTGCCCCTGCAGGCAAGGGAGCATGTAAAGCTAGAGAAGTGTGCTGTGTGTCACTATCAGATCCGATCCTAGTTTTCTCTTCAAGCACTTGGCAGCTGCTGAGAACCTAGGGAACTGAAGCATTTGAGAGGATATTTGTACAGCCCCTGAAATGTTGACACCTGCAGCTGGTTGCCATCTTCTAGTTACAAGGACCGCTGGAAAATGGTTACATTCAGTGATGGCACTGGCATAATAGAGCTGCAGCTCCCCAACAGCCATTTTTGAGCTACAGATGGGGGTATTTTGCAGCCAAATAAAGTAATCAGAAAGGTGAGCTGAAGCACTTAAATTCCAGCAGGGAATCATTCCTGTGTATGGCCTCAGTTCCAAAGGGAATTCAAACTGCACTTTGTCTTCCCAAAATCTGAAACATAATGGCACTTTCTGCCCATACAGATGCTTTCTAGATCCCTGCTCTTCTCCAGGACATTAAGCAGAAATTACACAACAATGCAGAATTGAGTGGGCTTTTTTTTTTCTCCCCCATTTGTATCATTTTAGGTTGTTTTGGAGAGTGAATTGTGTTTCTTCCTGTTGGGGGTAAACAGCAATTGCACAGAGACCTGTTGATACTGTTCCCCAAAACCATTATCAGAGCTGCCACCTTACTTTCAAGAATCAAGATTACAATAGCCAGAAGCTCTGAGGTGGGTTTCATGGTGTCAACAGGCACAAACACCATCACTGGTAACCTAGCAAGCTGACAGCAATCTTCCAAGACAGATTTGCAGCTCACGTCAACAAGACCAGGCAGAATGGAGAAAAAAAATCCCTGCCCAAAAGCAATCCTAACATGAAATGAGAGAACTGATGTTATCACAGCCTGAACACAGCTGAGGAAAGAGGATACTGTTCTCAGACTATTCACAACCATTCATCCTCACCACTCTCTGCTCACCTTCTTATTTTTTCAGCTCTCCTATGGAGAGGTAAACCCAGTTAATTCAAACACTTTCAATAGCCTTGCTTTCCTTTCCTTTTTTTTTTTTTGTAAAATGACACATTCTTGGCCAAACCAACTAAAGCAGCAGCAGCTTGCACAGCTATGTCTATGTGGATATGAAGGTACAGTTCTTTGCTTGAAGTGGCACTGATGAATAGCACAAATGCAGTGAAACTTTTGCTGCAGGCAGAACAGCAGAACTGACTGCAGCCCAGCAGCTTCACCACAGGCTCCTCAGGGGAGCTCCAAGAGGCAGGCCATGCCTCTCTGGCCAGAGACTTTCCTCCTCTTCATTCACTGCCCTTATCTAGATCATGTATTTTCTGACATAATCAAGTCTGGGTTAGTTATACTGTCTTTAAAGGACAAATGACAACGGACAGTTAAGCCTTTCTTATTCTTCTGTGAGATGTGGATCTGTTCAAGACCTTCCAGTAACACCAAACCATTGTTGGAAAGAGCTGTTTCCATCCTTTTTCCAGTGTCACAGGTATAGAGGTACCTTCACTTGACCACAGGGGTTTTAGTATTATCATTTCCAGAGTAACAACAAATTAGCAGGAATCTGCTAATAACAATAATTAAGCCAATTTCTCCCACACTGACTGATTTTTAAGTAAGGCTTTGAATTAACTCACCTCTGGCAAACAGAACTCTGGCACAGAATCCACAAACACATGGCCAGAGCACTCCTTCAGCTCCTGTGAGAAAAGCACATTAACAGAAAAGACACAAAAATACAACACAGTGTTACTCCAATACAGTGAATTTTGTACTTTCAAAACCTTTTCTTTATCACGGGCAATTTCCAACCCTTTCCTACACTGTATTTGTTCCCCTTCTAGATATCATCCGTCGTAAGCAAGTCTTCTGCAATTGGTTTTGTGGAAGATGAATCCCTATCTTAGGGCACTTGATGAACCACCTACCGGGGATCCAGGTTTCACATGGCACTCCTGTTCTATTTATCTCTATTGGATCTCTAGTCCTCTATTTTCTCTTTTTCCAGAGGTGACATGAGAAGCCTTTGTCAAATGAAAAGTGACATTCTTCAGCATTATGCATGGAAAAGAGCAAACAGAAACATTCTCAACTCTAATCCTCACCTACCTCAAGGGGTAGGCAACCTTCCACACTGTTCTCTGTCTCACAGATGCTTCTTTTGCTTGTCCCAGAGCTAGTGGTCTAAGCCAGCTTCAGACTGAGAGAATTAAAAATTGAATCCAATTCTTAATAATTACAGTGCACCTGCCAACTAATAACGAATGAGCAATTACATCTAGTGGCAGAAGTCTCCTAACCTCATCTCAAGGGAGTTCAAAATGATTAAAACTAGATCGCAGCAAATTTCAATGCCTCTCCAGGACGTAAGTTTTATAACTGTCATCCGGAGAGTGCTATAACAGAACGTCCACCTGACATGATAAAACATCCGCCTTTGACTCCTTCCCTTGCCTTTTTCCAGCATGGGTCAAAGTATTTACCATTCCAAGCAGTTACGATGGTCAAGGTGAAGGTAAGAGATGCTGCCTTTGAATTTTTAAACACATGTTTTCCATTGACACTGTGCAAGTTTGATTCTCCAGAGCACACACTGCAGGAGCACCAAAGAAATGTAAATACCTCACTTACAAAATATACTGACAGCCTATTTGTTCTTCAGATAGAACAGAACCTAAAGGCTCTGAGACTAAAGATGGAGTTCAGGAGAAGCAAATTTAAACTGCGTAACTCCATTCCTGCCACAGAGCATCTATAACTCTGTGATTCTCAGTCAGCATAAGCTTTGAGTAGAGCTAATACTGTTTTACTTACAGAAGTACTGCCTATATAGTTTCTTTTGTCTCCAATGAGAAGAAAATTCAGGTCTTAAATCTACGACCTTCAGCTTTCTCACCTGCAGGAATCAGATCAGCCCAGAAGTCCCCTACAAAAGGAGCTATTATTACAGTTTTCCTTTAATGTTCATCTAGTTTGAGAACAATCTATTAAAACAGTATTTTCTCTACCAATATCTATTGCTGCACACATTTGTAAAGTATCTATCTATTTTACTAGCATCTGACATATTTTTGTGTTCATTATTCCCCTATGGCAGATTCAGCTGGATGCAGCAGTGCCTGGTTTCGGTTGAAGCCCAGAAAAATTCTCATTATAAAACCACTGTAATGAAAAGAAGGGGAGAAAAAGAAAAAAAAAAAAATATCTCTCATAGTTGAGTCAGTTCTGTGTGTTAGAATTAGGAGGCTGGAGATGAAATCCTCCCTTCTACGTCCAGTGGCAGAACACAAGTGAAGCCAAAGCTCTTCCTCTGTAAGAGACCTCCCACGGGCAAACCATTCACCTGTAGTTTTCCTGTCTAAAAAAGGGGGATAATAACAACCTCATTTACAAGTTAGCTATGAAGCTTTACTGTCATAAAAGCAAGGCTGTTGAATAAAATGCACTCTGCAAGTTAAAGTACTGTTATTTATGTAGCTCGGTGAAATAGGAAAATATTCAAACTGATGATTTCCGCATTTTAAAAGGGTACTTTAAAAAAGCAGGCTACCTCTGAAGACTGAAAGCCTCAGAGTTGCAGCTAACATTTTGTTTGAAAATGTTCTGCTCTACATCATGGCTGGTAACAGTACACACAGAAACCTTGGCGATGAGTCAGCATGATAGTATTGTTCATGTAGTGTGAGCTCCTGATCTGTCTGGTGGCTTTTTGCATGGCAAGAAAATTCTAACCATCAGTACAGTACCTTGTCCAGAAACGTGCTTCCATCTTTCAAAACTAATCCAGGAAGTTTGGACAGCCTGGGGCTGCAGAAGGAGAGAAGAAAATATATTGAAATATGAATACTTTCATTGTCACTCACTGAGCACAGAGCTTCTGTTTGTTGTCAGACAGGAAAAGAACACCATCTCAGTTTTGGGGAACTAACAATCTCAATAAAATAGACAGTTCCACAGTGTTTTAAGTGTTCACTGAAATGACTTTCATAAGTCATCATTATGACACTTACACATTAAAAAAAATAAAGAGAACGACACGTGCAGGGAGTTTGATTTTAGTCCTTTATGATGAGAATTTCAAAAAGGCGCAGTGCTATTTAAGTTGCCTTAGGTGAAATGGCTGTATAAATGGAAGAAGGATTAAGGCAGCAGAAAACTTGATGTCTGAAACGATACAAAAGCGCTGTAAAACTGAATCTGCTTCAGTACAGAAGATGACAAATGGTCACACTAGCAATGGAAGGCAGAGATTGACACTGGGGCCTCACTCACTGATGGACACAGAGGGTGTGATTTTATAGCCCTCTAAACTATGGTTTCATGCCCTGAAGACCCACACCAACATCTGTACAGCATGCAGCTGTGTTGGAAGGAGAGGAGCAAGTAGGCTTTGCTGTAACTGCATGCTTTATGTTGGCAGGTCTGGAACCAGACAGCAACAGCAGCCCCTGCCCCCCCACCTTTTTTGTTGTTGTTGTTTTTTAAAATATTTTTTGTTTTAAATGCTAATAAGGTAACTTCAAGGATAACAGTGTAATCCTGAGCTTACAGTACAAATTGCCTCAGCATTTCATGCACCCCTGCTTCACAGTTGCACCTGATTTTTGTGTGAGCCTATAACTTAGATCTGAAACTACTGTCAACCCAGATTCAAGCACATCTACAGAAATCCAGAAAAGCTGAGAGAATGAGATACTAAAACCTGCCTGGAACAAGGCCTGTAAAAACCTGAGATTCAGATACAGAACTTGACAACCTGGTTGCAGTGAAACATGGAAGTGTTTAGCACTGAACTCTGAAGAAAACAATGCTTATGCACTATAAAGGCTTTTGAATTTAAGTTCTTGAAAAGAGGAAGTGACTCAATGGCTCAGAAGAATATTGTTTAAACTAACATCAGTATAAAAGACCTGATCCTAACTGGTACTCCAATAAGGCACAAGGAAAGAGGGGAAATAAAGATTCAAGGAGTCAAGGCAGAAGGTAAGAGGTGAGAGCAGAAGGGTGTCATAAAGAAGCAGCAGGAGATGCTATACCAGAGAAGCGTGACCCTCTTCTGAGGATAAAGAGCAATTCTGAAGAAGCCTAATGATATAAAAGAGGAGGTGTCTAAATGTACTCCCAATAGACATGCTCAAAAGCACAGATTGCTTAGTGTATTTCAGAGATAGGTGGGGAAAACTGTAGGGAGAGCAAATGATCTAAAGGGAAGAGCTGGGAAAAAGCAAGAACAAACCACCCTGCTAAGCAGCAAATGTAGCAGGTAAGGGAGGAGAGGGCCAAAACGTTGGCTGGAAGGGCAGGTCAGCAGGTCTGTGGTGCACTCTCAGAGCCAACCTGGGTCAGTCACAGCTTTGTTTTGCTACAACTTGCAAATGCCTGAAGGATGAGATTCCAGAGAGTCTGGGAATGGTTAGAAGTGTGAGACTAAGAGAAACTTCATCATTGAGATGCTAATGTCCAATCTGAGGCTCTCAAGTAGCAATCCATGACTACTTGCCCCCCCCAGCTCCATCACCTGATAAGATTTTAACCATTCTTCCTACTGTCTTTTCAGGTAGATGCAGAGTACTATTAGCTTCTCCTTCAGCCTCCTATTTGCGCGATCAAATAAGATCAACTCTTCAACCTCTCATGGGCTCTGAACCCCAATCATCTCAGACCTCCTTTGAAGACCCTCTCAAGTCTCTCAGCGCCCTCCTTCAGCTGGGAGTCCAAACTGAGATCAATCTGTGCTTTCTCCAGCATGAGGAAAAGAGGAATAAACTTCTCTTGATGGCTGGTCATGCCCCTTCTAATTTAGCCTTGTATGTGGTTTTGCCTTAATAATGAGTGAGCACAATCAACTTGTACTAAACCTGGCATCCACTGAAGAGAATACAATCTTGTTAAGGGAGGCAAAATTAGTAGATGGGTCCAGTGTGGGGGGGGCGGGGAGGGAGGGAAGAGGGGGAGGAAAAGCGGAATATGCAACACAGGACAGAAAGGACTTTTACCTTGAAGCCAAGAAGAAACACAGTTCCTGCCGACATAGTTCTGACATTGTAATAGAGTGATTGATTAATCCAAAATAGCTAGAACTGTCACATAAATAACATGAGCAAGTGTGTCATGGCTAGACAGGAAAGGTTAAGAGCTTCCCACATGTTCACCTTGCAGCTTTGCATTTGACTTTGGTACAGGGGAGAAAATTCCAGTTGACAAACTTCCTTTAAAGTACAGGAACTGACTTGGAGTGTTTGGCAACCACTGCACTTTGTGCATGCTCTGTGTGCTGGTGAGAACAAGGACTGCCATTTCCAGGGTGCAATTACATATCTTTTGATGGGCTGAAGACCAAAGAATTCTAAAAAAATGTCCAGATCTTTAAAAGAGACAAACACTACAGCACTTTCCTCTCTCACAGATTAAAGGACAGGCTCTCAAAATGTTTGCTCAAGGAGGGTCCTGTGTGAGGTAGGACACAGGCTCTAGCTGCATAGCAAAGACCTACTGTAATATATCAGAGGTAACTATTAGGGCACTGCTGCAGATTGCATACAAAGACTTGCAAAGCCCAAGTGGTTCATGGATCCTACTTCCATAGATCCATGGATCCTACTCTGGCTTAAAGACAGCAGAGAGGCATAGCTCCCCTCTGGTCATGGTTTTGTGTGGGTCTGTCTCAGCCCACTTGCAAGAAACACTCCTAATTATGAGAGGAAATACGGCTGGTAATAACCTGAGGTCTGACAGACATATTTCATATTCCTGCTCTGCTACAAACATCATGAAAGATCTCAGTCAGGCCTTCTTTTAGTCTGTCATCTGGAAAATGACGATAACATTAGCTCTCTATCACCTACCCACATTATGTTGATAATACACATTGCAGTTTCAGAGGTATTTAGACATCCTGGTAACGGAGACCAGATATATAATGTTTCTAGCTCATTTCCACAACTCCCTGCAGGACATCTGCTTTGTAGAATACTGAAGAGATCAATTACTTGCCCAAGTCCATGTACTTAGGACAATCCTTGCTGTAAGGGGTGTTCAATCACCTTACGGACATGATTGATTGGATTTAAATCCAACTGTTTGCTCGGATTCCTCTGGGCCATCAGGGGTCAAATCTGACATCCTTTCTTATTGAGTTTGAGTCATTTTAGTGCAGACATTCTGGAGGTACTTGGGGAATTCCAGGTTGCGACCTGCAATTTGGCTGTTCATTCCCAGGGTCTGCTATCAGTAGACAAAGCTGGCATATCCCAGGGGAGCACTGATGCCTGAAGTTCTAAGAACCTCCTAAGCCTTTGTCCAATCACCTAATTTTGCTACTTGTTCCCCTTTCAATTTCTTTTTTCTGTGTGAGTGAGAAGCTAATGCAAGGCAATTGCATTGAACTGAATTGCCTGTAGCTGGATTCACCTATTTATTTTTTTTTTATTTATTCTTCCTAAATCTACTACTGCTCCTAAATATTATAGTTAGCAAAAGTAAACTATCACTCAGATCTGTCTTTAGGCATCTGTTGCTCACTGTACAGACCTTGGAACTCCATGTCCTTGCAGAATAATGCCTGTGTTGTCTATGTTTCTCCTCTCCAAGAAACAGCAAATTGTACAAAGTGCTGGTCATCTGCTTTAACTTCATTAGGTCACTTACAAAGCTCCCTTCCCAGTCATATTCTGGCCCTTTAAACCCAGCCTCCTCTGAACCCAGAATGCATCTCACTTCCTTCTTTATGGATCAAAGTTACTAAAGGGCTTTTGTGAAAACTCCTGCTAGCATCACACCACCAGGAGCTACTTATTTCCACATTCCTAAACTAGAGTTTCTGTAATCTGTTCCACTTAATGCCAGACATACATCACTCTGAATATCCAAATCCATTTACAAATCCAGGAAAAGATACTTGTGAGCCAGAGCACGGAAGGAGGAGTTTTGATCTCAGGATTCTCTTCCTGAACTACTTTTGCTTCACTGCTGTTTCATTCCTGTGTGCACTACACTTTTATTTATTTAAATTTTAAAAGGGAACAATTATGCCATGAAGTCAACTAAGGAGGACTGTTAAGTGCTATTTTTCTTTGCATTAGCCCACGCTCTGACAAAAAGCCTGAGAAGATGGTGGTTAAACAGTACTTGCCGGGCTCCCTGCACTCCATCTCAGTTACCCATTTATCTCATCTTGCATGAAGAAGCCAGAAAGATGACAGATATGTGACCTCACTTGTGCTGAGCAGTTGCAGCAATACCTTACTGAAGCTTAGAATAAATTATCTAGAAAAACCAATCAATAAATCCATAAAATGTCTTCCGTCTACTGAGCCAAAGGACGTTATTTTGATAAAGAGAATTTTTAAGTGAACAAAGTCTATTTATGATATCAGATGATGCAGTTCATTTGTACTCATCCCCTCTCTCCTTCCAATATACCATTTCATGCAGAGCACTCAAACTGCAACCCAAGAAGACGCAAACTAAGTGCTCACAGGCTGCAGAACATACCTCTGAACCAGTGGCAACGGCAGGAAATTGAGGGTAGATGTCATATCCAGTCCACAATCCAGCATGATGGTGGTGGACTTGAACTTGAGCACGTTGCATGGTAAGGTTGGATGTCCCGACAGGCAGTACTGAAAGTAGAATACAAAATGAGTTCCTTGTCACCTTTACCAATAGACTGAAGCCCCCTGAAAATTGACTTCTGCCCCCTCATTTTTAAACACACAGTTTCATGCATGCCAGAATGAAACTCTTCGTTTCACATGAATTACTGTCTCAGAACTATATATTCATTGGCATTTCCCCATGTCAGGGTATTGAGACGCAGATTTTCTTCAGACAAGGTTTTCTGCTCACAAAGGACAAATGGATAAAGCAGCACCTCTCTTTAATTTGTGACACGTACAGAATCTCTTTCTTCCACAACCACTCATTGTCACAAAGATCCTGGGCAATCTTTAAAACTCAGACCTACTGGCAAAACTTGGCTGAAATTGGTGTGCAAGTTTGAGAATTACTTGGGGTGGAAGCAGAGAATTGCTGTAGGAGCACAGGTTGTATTTCCTTAAGGAATTAACCTCAACAAAGAAGCAAGGTGCAGGGCACGCAGAGGAAGCTGTAGCGTGCAGTGCAGCAGCTCAGGGGCAAGCTCTCACCTGCTTTTTGTCTTGTTAAACTCAAACAGGAAACACTAGGGAATGGACCACCATACCTGAATGGAACAGTTTGTGTACTGAGAAATCCCCAGCGCTTTGCAGGGTTAATGAGCCAGTAAACAGGTTATGTACTGGGCACTTCAGCATCATTGAGATGCAGCCATCTCCAGTACTGAGAGTGGCAAGCATTTAACAAGGCACAGGAGCAGCTGAAGCTTTGAATAAGAAGAGAGGTGAATAAAAATGCTATCTTTAAAATGTGAGATTAGAATACAGGACAGCAACCACTAGGTACTCAATGGTTCTTCAAAGACCTCAGGAATAAGAAGTGTTGCATCTCAAAGTCTGGGCATCCCCCAGCACAACAACTCTCAGGTGGTCTGACAGCTTTTAAACTCAAGGTTTGGTCAATTAAAATGAAAAGTATCAACTTGTTGTTCATGCACTGCACTAAAAACTGTCATTTTCTAAGGCGTTTATTCCTTGTGCTTGCTTTCCACAAGTGAAAAGAAGGTAGATTAATCATTTCCTTCTCTGCCTCCACTCACAATATGTTAACGCAGGACTGCAACTGTTTGAATTAACAACTCCCAAGGAGACTGTTTACATACATTCATCACAAAGCTGTTTTAAATTATATTTAAATATTAAAACCCACTAACGCTCACATATTAAATTAACAGATCACAGTCCTCTGTTTTAAGTTCATGAAGTCTTAATTATTAAGGAGCAACATTACATTTTGTCTGCTGTTACCGAAGTTTAAGAAAGCTTGATAAACCAAGCTGGTGAAAAAGTGAGTGTGCAAACAGTTGGCTGTCACCCTGTGGGAAATGGATCCCTGGGAGCCAATGGACTCTTTCTATCACATTCACGTAAAGAGTCATAAAGCAAACCAAAACAACACTTCTATGCTGTACAGCTATTTGCATGTGACATTTCCAGGGCTGTATCTCTGTTAGAATTTTAGATTAGGAATTGATATAGAAATGTAATGGTGCATATATGTACTATATTTGATTTCTTCCACCCAGTTCACGCTTCGTCCCATCTAAAACAGATCCAGAGACCCCAGTTAATAACATTCTTGACTGGACTGAAGTGCAAGTCCTTTTTTGCTTTAGATCCATTTGCTTTCATCTCTCTTCCCCTTTTGAAGAAAGGTCGAAGCAGCAGACACACTAGGCTCCTTATCTCTTAATTAGAAACCAGTTAAGAAAAAACACAAAACATAAAGGACTATGAGTGTGCCCATCACAGTGCACAGCTCCCCTGACTTGCTCTCTAAACTGGATGGCAGTTTGGCAGAGCAGGGCACAGAGATAGATGAAGGTGAGGGGCTGAAGCCCTCACACAGACTGGCTCTCAGCAGACATCTGGCTCAGGCTGAGGGCTCTCCAGCTTGGAACGTTGCTGGTGAGCTCATACATGGCAAAATGACAGAAAAAAAGAGATGACATCTCAAGCTAGCAGCTCCAAAACATTCCAAATTTTGGAAGTTGAATTGAAGCCAACAAATACTGCAGCGTTTTGTTCCTGTGTTATCCTATGGATCCTGTTATCTCAACTGGATTTGTCTGGACCCAAGCACACCGAATTTGTTGAAGCTTGAGTTTTTCACTGGATTCTGAGTCAGGCCTGCATGCTGTTACCTCTGCCTTGTTCTTCCAAATTCAAACCAAATATACGTGAATGGAGGATGAAAGCATTCATTTCCCTTTCCCTGCAACCCCTTGATTCAGTCCTATCTCCAGACCAAATACAAGGTGAAGAATCTGCTCTTACAAACAACAGTCCCCAAATGAGGACACAGGCCTAAAAACACTGAAATGATGGCAGACAGCTTGTAATCCCCCTCCACACCCTTCCCCTCAATCTAACCTTGTAGAAGAGTCTACAAACAAGGAACCCCACATTTCCACTACAGTCTTCATTTACAGATTTCTCAGTTTGCTTGACTGAGAAGCAAACTGTACTACAATATCAGCCTCCAAAGCCATGCCCAGAAACACCTTCCCAGTTTCTCCAACCAGAAGCATTCATAAAATCATTATGGTTGGAAAAGACTTCTGAGATCTCCAAGTCCAACCCACCCCACCATGCCCACCCTCAGTGCCACATCCCCACGGTTCTGGAACACCTCCACGGATGGTGACCCCAATACCTCCCTGGGCAGCTGTGCCAGCACAGGGCCACTCCTTCTGAGAGGAAATGTTTCCTAATACCCAACCTGAACCTCTCCTGGAACAACATGAGGCCAACACCTCTCATCTCATCGCTGTCACCTGGGAACAGAAGCTGACACCCAGCTCACCACAGCCTCCTCTCAGGGTGCAGCAGAGAGCAATGATGTCTCCCCTGAGCCTCCCCTGCCCCAGACTGACCCAGCAGCTTTTGGCCCTTCTCTGGATACACTCCAGGACCTTCATCCACACACACAGACTTCCACCTCCCACATCACATGGGATCAAGTTCTTCCACCACCACCTGCTGAACTAATTTTACAATCAGTTCACAGGTCTTAAAACAAGCCAACAATCCAAGTTCACTTCCACAAAGCTTCCTTATCCTCAAACCCACAACATTATGTTGGACATCAGGTTAAACACATCAGATGTTCGACGATACAACGAACGCCACTCGTTAACACGAAAGCAGCACGATTTCCGTGGCGATGTGCCTCTGGGGCAGCCCCACAGAAGCCACACGGGCACTGGACGGCTGTAGAAACACCTCCAGGCGCCAAACCCCACCGCCCGCCCCTCACCCAACCCCAGGAGGGGCGGGAGGACGGTTTCGGTTGCCCCCCCCTCCCTCAGCGCGCCGTTAACTCGGCGGGAAGCGCCTCTCAGCTCCTTCACCCCCCGGGTACCACAGCCCGAGGGCGACCAGCACAGAGAGCACCACTCAGTTCAGCTCATCCCTTGACAGCCCCCCCCTCCACCACCACTCACCAGCTTCATGCTTCACCCGGCTCTATTTACGCGGACAATCCTACCCCCGCCTTCCTGCCTGCCCGTTCCCCCTTCCCGCCCCGGAGCATCACGGGACTTGTAGTCTCCCGGCCCGCGATGACGTCATGGTCGGGCCCGCCCTCCCTCCGTTTCACCTTGCTCCTCCCGAGGCATGCTGGGAGCCGTAGTCCGCGCCCCGCTTCGCCCCGCGCTCCCGTGGCGTGCCGCGCCGCCGGGCATGCTGGGAGTTGTAGTCCGCGAGCGGCGGCGCTCCCCGTCACCCTGGGGAGGGGGGAACTACAAGTCCCAGGGTCTCACAGCTGCAGCAGGTGGGAGCTCGGATGTTGATATCAACATGGCGCTTGTCAGACAGACAAAGACAGTCAGGCTGGTGTGAGCGAGCCAAAAAAAAAAAAAAAAAACCCCCCAAAAAAAAAACAACAACACCCAACAGAGAGAAAGGGAGAGCGAGACGGGGAGGGGGGCTCCTGTCCTCAGGGGGGGCTCCGGCAGCCGAGAGCTTTCCGCCCCACTATTGTTCTCCTCCCGCTGCGCCCCCATTAATCTCCCCTCGCGCCGGGGGGGTCCCCGCCGGGGGCGGCCGTTCAATGGTGAAGCGGAGGAGCCGCCGGCACCCGGAGGTGAGTGTGGGTGCGGGGGGGGAAGAGAGGTGTGTGTGTGGGGGGG